CGTCACTGGAGACTGAATTTCTTTTTGGTAAATACTTAGTTTTGCATAGTAGTTGGCTATGATCGGCAATAGACTTGTTTAGCACTTCTCATGAAGAGATGTATCTAAGATTTTCAGGAAACCGATGTTCATTTCTGTAATGTATGGTTGGGCTGTATAGGCTCTAAGTAGGTAGAATGACCTCAAGCATTCATCAGCAGATTATGGTCAGCATCAATATATTTATTTTTGTTTTCATCGAAAGAAGCCACATCGGTCTACTGGCCTCCCGAAGGCTTTCACCAACCCGCGTCATTCCGTCTCTCCGATTCCAGCGAAGAATAAGTTTTCCTTTTTTTGTATTTCCCTTGTGCTTTGAAGTTTCTGTAGAGGCTGAATTGATTTTCTGGGATAGGGTCTCTAGCCCCATGCCCAACTTTTTCCCTCTCTTCCAGGGCTTAAGACCAGCTAGGAAACTAGTAAACTAGGCGAGGCTGACTACTGCTTAAAAATGTTGACATCATTGAGCTACTTTCAACTTTTTCAGTTGAAAGGTTTTGTAGTTTTTTTCTTCTTACTGAATTGCTCGTTTTAGAAGTACTTATTTAAAAGTCAGTTAAGCGGGATGGGTTTTTCATGCACGAGTCTATGAGTACACATTTTGGTACACCAGTTGCCTTGAGGGAAGTAGGTGGAGAGTTGATTCTAGTCCTGAACCCAATAACTGAAAGTCGATTGCGTAAGTCTATGAGCTACGTTTCCACAAGAGAAGCGTTTTGTACTACTGAGAAGTTTTTGATCAATTATTTGTTGTTTACTGTAGGCTTTCACTGGAATTCTTTTCTTCATCTTCTCTCATAGATATGCTGCTACAGGTAGTATGTTCTGTTTTTCTTCAAATCCTTACGATGATTTTATTGCCACTAATTTCGTATTAGGTATCATAATCTAATTAATGATGTAGGAATGATATTGAAGTGTTTCTGGTCTCCAAAATACAAGTCGTTACCTTTGATGAAATGCATTTTATCACCTTGCTCACCTTAACGTTTAAGTCAACCATAATGGGTTGATAATTGAAGAAATCTCATTAGGTATACATCAAACTCGTTTAGCATAAGTAAAATCTAAGCACAATGTTGAAGCCTTTTAGTGTTTATTCGATATAAATGATATTCTTCCATAGATAATGTAGCATGCTATATCAGATAAACAAGCTTATTTGATTAATTTCGTAGATGTGTCTGAAGATTTCGTTTAAACATCTTACCCTTGAAACATGTCTCAGTTAACCAACTCAATCCATCCTTTAATTTCCCGCTTAGAATCTTTTACTTACTTTACTGTGCTGTTTCTCAATGCAAGATTTTTCTTATTTCTAACATCATTTTTTCGCCTTGTTTCATTCTGATTTTTCTTGTTTATACTAGTGTGAAATTTGATAACGTGAAGTAATCTAGGTCTTACTTTTATGTCGTCCTAGTCAACTTTCGCTCAGTTCATATTTCTTTGATTGGACACTAGTTTAGTAACTAGTGTAATGTGTCTAGTCCTTTGTTTGGTGCAGACTGAAATCTATCAGTCAAGCTTGCAATGTGGCCAATCAAAGTATCTGATACAGTCCTACAGGAAGTCAATCACGAGCCCGAATAGCTCAGTGGTAAAGCCTCTGACTACAGTACTCACTGGGTGACTCGGGTTTGAATCTCAGAAGGGACTTGAATTCCTTCAAGCTTGCAGATACGCCTTGCTGACTGGTGGTGAATGCCAACTAGCACGAAACCTAGGTCGAGCAAGGCTTCCTGCCAATTACCTCCAACCAGCACATAGTGCAACTAAACAGCGTCGTTAAAACTATTGATTGGTGTGATTGATTATTACTTGTGATTTATGTGGTTTAAGCCAAAACAATACAGCGGTATCAAGCAGAAAGTTTTTCAAATCTCTCTAATGGTGGTCTTCCTGCCCACTCAAAGTGATACATTAGAGTTATGATTGATGTCAATGAATTCTTTATTTCAAGAAAAATCTTTACTGTTTAAGTCTAATCAAATAGTGGTAAGAAAGTTGGTTTCGGTGTGAAACTTGGATTGAGCAGGAAACCATGAATTTGATTATTATTATTTACTGGTGTAAATTGCATACAATATTACTGGATTGTGAGAAGAGTGTCAATTCTGTTTAGACCAACGATAATCAGGAAATGTATTTTAGGATAGTCATCTTATAATCTAAGTGAATAATTGATGATTATACCCACTTTTACTTCTATCTAGAAGTAGGCTTTTTTTGGAAACCTTAATTTCCCAATACGAATTTAAAACCAGCAACAAAAGTTAATAAAGCAGCAGGATTTGATGAATTCATCGGATTTTGGTAGAACTCTTCAGCTGAATACTCTACATACAGGGTTATAAAACTAAGATAAAATGATTTTTTTTGACTGAATATCAACTTGTGTGTTAGTCAATTCTATGTTTTAGTGTATTACTTCTCAATACTTTCCCGTAGGTTTTGCAGATGAATTCAGTTCATATGTTAACCAGGTTCTCCAAACATTGTGTGACTGTGATAGCTGGTTACCTTAATGTAGTGATTGGACTTGCATATCGCAAGGACTTGATCGGCTACACTGGCCGCAACGAATGTTCCTGCAGCTGTTACCATGCTAGAATGGTAGCGATTAGACTAAAAGCAGTTACCATCGTAGTGTAGATCGGTCACATTGTGTTGGGGGTCTGCGAGCGAAGTCGTATTGCTGGCAGGTAGACGTGTAACAGCAGTAAGGCTCTGCGGAGGGAAAGGGGTTAGAAAAGGTTGACCTTAAAAATTGTGCATTCCCACTTGCTCTGCGTCGATTCGTAGTCGGTGGTAAGATCTTTATACAGATGTGACTTCAAAAACCACTGATAACAGGACGGATGTGGCCTACCTCAAGCAGTTGTCCTTTGGACTCTGTGGTGATGCAGCACTCATGCTACTTCTGTTTCAGGTGTTTTAAGAAGAAATCACCTTCCAGGGGAAGTAGTGATCGCGCACACACTTCCAAAAAATCACACGTGTAATATCGAGTCAAAATAGTACGTGTTCATTCACTTATCTTAAAGATTACGTTTTTCATGGTTTTTTATGCTTTCATATATTTTGAGCAACATTTCTTTACATCAAGATTATGATTCACCTTCAGCTTTTTGTTAGACTTTAATGATAGGAGGGAGGGGGGGGGAGTATATTTTTAAGCTTTGTTTCATGCCTTCCTAAGAGTTATGCTATTTATGGAGGGAGGGATTGGTTGAATAGATTGCACGATAATTGAATCTATAAATGTCAACAGATTCCGTAAGTTTCGCAATTAGAATTAGTTGTAAACTTAGTGAATCGGTTTTCTAGAACAGTAGAAGTTTTGATGACAGGTCAATGAATATCTTCACTTTCTCTCCACCATAACACTTCCACTTGGTACACATATCCCCGATAGATTATTTTTCTTTCAAATGATGAAATGGTGTTCACATTTTTTTAAAAACTACCCTTGGTTTTATTCAATTTGTCAAGTCTAAATAAAGTTTTCTGTATTTTTTTGTTGTTGTTGAAATTTACTAAATGTAATTACATGTTTGCTGCATCTAACAACTTAAGTGCATAGAAAATCCTGTCCTGCCTTTCAAATAGCCATTCGGCTATGTGTCTATCACATTTCATGAAACTAAGAGCACTCAGATATATGCTTCTTCATACTATTAAGCTATTTCATCGGCGTATTATTAGAGTTTATCAGTTTGGTTAGTTATCAGTATCTTCATTTATCATTATTTTAGATCATGTTAAAAAAATGTTTTTTTCATCAATTGACATCAGAGTGTTTGTTCCTTATGATTCTTACAATTGTGAAAATACTGTCAAAAGTGGTCATGTTTTTACAGCCTAATGTGCTAGTTAAAAGAAGAAAAGAAAAGCTGAACAGAAAACTACTTACTTATTTGTTTTTGCTAGAAATATTCGATATAGGCATAATCAGCCTCTTTCTTTCGTTGATGTTTTTTGCTAAAACCAAATATAGTGTTCATCAAATGATTTGTAGGATTCGTATGCCAATTTATTGACTGAGTTAGTGTGTCTTGTATCATTTCACTCCCTGATTAGGTTACGTTACACCTGTTGGTTAATAATGATTCACCTTCACTTTCTGTTCATGGTCTCTGAAAAATATGGGCGTAAGGATACAAATACTCGCTGGTGACATTGGCTGGCGGTCGCACTATGTATTGCAAATCGGCCGAAGTTAGAATTTATGAGCCCGTTGGATTCTGTCTCATTGGTTGAACAGTCAACGAGGTTGCCTTGTGACGTGAAGTTCTTGGGTTTGAGCCTTGGTGGGGGGGGGGTGAGTGTGAGCTTCTGAAGAGCCCCTAACCAGGACGAAACAACTCTCATTTACTTCCTGGTTTTTATGGTTTTCTAACTGAAGTCATTGTGTGATAAAACTTGAAAAAAATATGAGTTTAGATCTGTAAGGAACTACAGGCTTCGTGGTGATTAACATCGTGTCTCATCGTTCAAGTATAAGAAAGCGTGAATCTTAGAATTTTTCCTTTCTACAAGTTTAGACTGCCACTTTATTTTAGCTCATTAAAAGCACATAAATAAAAGGCGCTCTACTGAGTTTTAAATGTGGAGGATTTGGTTTTTTCTTACAACCTACTTCTTTTATGCTTTTACGGTTAGCTGGTGAGAGACGACAAGCTTTTGTAAACCCCATGAAGTGACTTGCATACCTGTTACCGATTGATAATTTATGTATCTGTCAGTTGAAGTCTATATGGTCAGTGTGTAGCATGATTAAAAGCTAAGCGAAATGACATTACGTTACATTTTGTTCGGTTTTTTGTTGTTGTTGTTTCATGTCATGCATTCAACCTACATATGTGTGTTAACTCCTTTACTTGAAATAGGTAATTTTACAACGCATCAATCTATTATATGATACTAATCTGCTTTCCTTTCACTCTCTCTCTCTTCAGGGATCTGGTGAATCACGAACAAATGATGTAACGCATACAAATAATAAAGCTAAAAAAGAAAATGGCGTAATCACTATCCGTTCAAAAACTCTATCGAACACTGATAGTCAAGAGAATGAAACAAAACTTTCTCGTGGCAACACTACAACACCAACAACAACAACAACTACTACTAATCGACTCACAAATCATGATACAGATGAAGAAGATATAATAAATAAAGCTAAAACAAATAAAGTTGTCCCTATTAGAACAAATGATCGAAATGGATCAAAGCTTAATAATACTTCAGTAGTTACACCTACATCAGACTACAACTATCCTACTGAGAATAATAAACAAGCCGTAGATGCAGCTTCACGTCAACAGCCTCGTGAAAGTCGTGAAAGCAGTAAACATCGTGTTCATTCTTCCCAATCACAAAATCTTATACATTCAGGTGGAGGAGGAGCTATAGGCGATACAACATCACCGATAACTAAGTCTAATGTATCTAATCGAACAGATAGTCTGCGTTCAGTAGTATCTTCAGATTCTATCCCATGTACACAGAATAAACTATCTACCACTACCACTACTGCTACTATTACTCCTACTACCACTACTACTACTACTACTACTCCTTCTACTCTTCCTTCTCCAACCCTTTTGCGTAAAGCTTTACCATCATTTCACTTCCCTCTTGGTACTACTCGTATGTCTAGTGAAGAGATTAATACAGAATTGGAACGTATTAAACGTGAAATTAATCAATTTGTTGATCCATCACTTAATACAGGAAAACATTCTGAACAGTTAATTCCTTATTCAAACTTTGGACAAGTGGCAAAAGTAAGTAAAACTTGAGAGTTTTTATGTTTCCACTTATAGAACAGTTTTAATATGAATATTTTAACCTGACTGCTATTATTATAGTTATCATCATCCTGTGTTATAATTATTCAGAACATTTAAGTCAACCAATCACATTACGGTTAGGTGGTGTATCACTGTTTGAATTGTGTTATACATGATTAATTCTATGTAACCCTATCAGTTTCAGTTATTCTTTAAAGGATATTTAAGACATTTTGTTACATTTGCTCTTGTTTTGATGCTATGAATCATTTTCTACTTGTTCGACATGAAACAGCTGTATGTATTCAATGGATCAAATTACAGCAAAATTTTAGTGGGTTCACGCGTATAACAACCAGTTCAATAAGATTTATATATGCATGTGAAGGGTAAAACTGAGCTGTATCCGAATCATCATAAACTTTGAATGTAACGTATATCCACTAACGTCTTAGCGTATTGAATCAAATTATCCAGTAATTTTTAGGAAACTAACAAAAAGTATAAACTGTCCATGAATTGCAATGAGGATGGTGTAATTATGAAAGTGAATGCGTACAGAACAATAGATTATTGAAAGTTTTCCAAACAATATGGGGCTTGTTTATTTCGTCATGGTCATCTCTTAAGTATGGGTTTTTAAACTCCTCAACTGGTGGATCTGTTTATTCCATCTTTCCTTTTGGTTCGACTTCAAGATTGTGGAGATTAGTCAATCAATGAGGCTACATAGATTGAGATGGCTAGGATACACGTTATACATGCCGATCCACTGACTTCCTAATTTGATCAATGTTAACTGACAAGGGATTAATTTGGGAAAGAGCTGCAAAGAGTTAAGTCGGGACGTGACATGAGGCTTTTCAAGTTGTGGTTTGCAGGGCTTTGATTTGATTGGTTAAAGGATTTGATCATGAGGTGACCATTGGTCAGGGAACCATTGGAAAACCTGGGAGTACTGGACAGCTGTTTCATCAATCTGAAGCACACTAGCGACTGACCCTATTCAGGTAGGTAGTTACCTGGGTTCTGGTGCAGAGTCGTGACCAGTGGGGTACAGCAGGTCGGGTGTGAGGCCAAATACTCCTTAGTGACATTAGCTAGTGGTCGTGCTATATCGTGAACTGACAGAAGTTGGAATTCATAGACCATTGGATCGGATCCCAGTGGCTTAATGGTCTACGAGCTCACCTTGCAACCGAAAGGTCCCGGGTTCTAATCCTGGCGGTTGGTGTGTACTGATGAAGGGTCCCAAACTAGAACGAGACGGCTAGCTGTCCAGTACTCCCAGCTGGTTTTCTAATGGTTTTCTGACCGATATCAGTTCATGATGAAATTCTGTTAACAGAAGAAGGCCAGCATGTTCTGTAACCTTGAAGTTTTCGCCTGTTGATTTGAGTCACATAGGGATGGTTGACTTCCTGGTTTGAAACTGTTGTTTGTGGCTGAAAAGCGTTCTCAGTAGCACAGATTCATTCACCTTGTATAGTCTCCCAGATTCATTACATTCCCATGTTTTTCCATGTAATTATCCTTTCTCGCGTAGATCTCCACCTATTATAGTTTTTTCGATTTTTTCTTTTTCTCAACCTTTGTGTGGTACATGGAGTGTAACAACTGGAACTGCTGTACTTCCGTGCTAGATTCTACGTTGAAAGTCAGCCAGTCTAGTTAGTCCTATTTATGTTTGTAGATCTTAGTAAACTGTCGTTAGCATTCATTATCCAATCATATTAGTTGACTTTAACTCAAAGCTGTATTGACTACATCATCTTCACCTTGCGTTTAACACTGATTTTTCGTCAGTTTTATCACATATAGATTGATACTGGTCACTTATTTCCAATGGTTATCTCTGCCCTGCAAGCGTATATGCAAATAAAGCATAGTTACATTTTATCTGTTCATTATTTATGCTAAAAATCTCCCTTAGTGTTATCAGTAGAATAAAAGTGACAGTTTTCATCTGTAATCTCAAGCTGAGCTATATGATTTTTTCTTTGCTGTAATTACTTTAGATATTTGCACTTTTCATGTTATTCCCCCTTTTAAACACATACTTGTGTCTTTTTTGAAAAAATAAATTATTTTAGCTGCTAAACTGTCCACTCTACTGGAAACACGCTATTTATATGAATGCTGGTGGTACACCCGATCGACAACCGGTATCCTCAGCAAACTTATTGAAAACATGGTCACAGTAAGTTCTATATTACCTTTACTTATTTTCTTGAAATTCTCAATGAAATATGATATTTTTAGAAGTGTTCTACCTTTCCTTCCCCCCCCCAGAAAAATATGAGGCTTATGCCTTCTTTTTGCTTTGTTCACCTGGTGATCTGACTAAACCGTACTTAGATGACTCTCTTTCTTGCTGGCAAATTTCCACCTACTAACTAATTGGATGATTGCCTACCACTGAGCTCTGTCAATTTTTAATTAATTTTAATGGGAGTTCTTTGATGATAATAGAGAATACTGTAACATAGAGTAGTCAGAAGACAACGTGTTTACTTCGTTTCCCAGTAACCACTGCAGTTGACTGGTGATATTCCAGTGTAACCGAAGTAGGATTAATCTCATACTCTGCGGTAACAAAAGTGTTTTGATTTCGTTACGTCCTCGCCTTTTTGTCTTCATATATATAAATTTGTTTACTTTGCCATTCTGGTTCAGGAAGTTAAATTCACTGCTAAACTTCGTAACAGAAATACTTCTACTGCTGTTTTTCACTTCTGCAGTTTCAATTTTTCTTCCTGACTTTGGGAATCTCTACTATATCATGTATATAGTGACGAGGCTGTGAAGTTACACCGATTGAGATGGTTAGGACATGTGTTACGTATGCATAGTCATCGCCTTCCTCGACGGGCAATGTTAGCTGACATAGGGTCAGACTGGAAAAGAGCTAGTGGCGGTCAAACGAAAACATGGCATCAGTCAATGAAATCCACAACAGTTAGTTTAAGCCACGTAGGAAGATGTAGACTTCCTGGTTGGGGTCCTCGGGACGGTAAAAACCAATGGCTGGAAACAATTGGTGATATGGCTCAAAATCGTTCTCAGTGGCTCGCAGATGCATCCACTCCTTGTGACTTATGATTTCAAATGAAACTATATTGTTCTTCGTTATTACTATTCCTTTGTCTTACACCTCTGTTTACTGTCTCTATTATGCATTTCTCCTACTTTCTTCTCTTGCTTTGTGTGCTACATGGAGTGTGGCGACTTGAACTGCCGCACATCGGTGCAAAGTTCTATGTCGTAGGATATAAAACTTCAGCAGCACATCTTCATTGTATTCTGTCCTCTGATGTGTCTTTTTTAAGCTAACTCCCAGATTACCCATAGGCCTTCATTTCCTTTTCCCGTTATCTTCATGTTACCCTCATCTATAGATAAACTCTAACTGTTGATCATTTTTGCTATTTATCGTATCTTCATTTTTTAAAATTCTTATGGAAAACTACAGATTTTAAAGTTTACTTTTTCTTCATACAGTTGAAAGTATGCTATTTTGCTTACTTTTATCACTTCAAACTTTGTAATCTTAAGTAGTTAACAGTAGCTGACGGGAAAAAAGCTTTTCAAAATTAGGAGTTGAGTTAAGATAAAAAAAACATAGCCCCAGAGTAATCAGACCAAATTATCACAGTATTAATTTATAAAATCTATTATGGCTGGTTTTAACTGTTTATTGATTGATAGCCACGAGATAACAGAACCCGATTTTTGTTTGTCCTATTGCTATTGTTTGAGTGTAACATAAGTGTATTGATTGAAATTAATTATATTAGAGTCTTCAAAGTATGTGATTTTAATTATGAAGTGTTTTAGCTTGGAATGATTTTTATAGTAAGGCAAACTTGCCGCACTTTCGTCTCTGCCTACTTGAATGGGTAGAAGGGAAGCGGTCAATTACGATTTGAATTTCCTCAGCTAGTTAGTCTTATGTGATTTTGTATTACTTGTTTAGAGAGTGGAATGCTGTAATCATATCATATCTTACCTTTGGCTGTTTTAAAAAGGTGTTTCGTCGACTTTTTTTACGCAGTCGGCTGGAGTGTCTACTGTAGCGTTGTGTTTGCTATTACTATATGTGCGAAAACACCTCACGATTACTTTTATTCCAACCGTTATACACAAGAATCTACAGAATGATTATTTGCGAGAGATATCAGAATATACAATACTTAACATAAATTTAATTTAGTTACAGAATTTCATCATGAACTCACATCGGTTAGAGAACCATTAGAAAACCTGGGAGCACTGGACAACTGTTTCGTCCTATCTTGGGACTGTTCGACAGTACATACGCACCGTTAGGGTTGGAACCCAGGACCTTCTGGTTACAAGGCCAGCGAGCTCGTAGACCATTAAGCCACTGGTAGCCGATCCAATGGAATCGCCTACGAATTCTAACTTCTGCCAATTCACGATATAGCACGACCACTAGCCAATGTCATCGGCAAGTATTTGTCCTCACACCTGACCTGCTGTACCCCACTGGTAACGACTCTGCACCAGAACCCCAGGTAACTACCTACCTGAATAGGGTCAGTCGCTAGTGGACAGAAGTTGGAATTCATGAGCCATTGGATCGGGTCCCAGTAGCTTAATGGTCTACGAGCTCGCTGGCCTTGTAACCGGGAGGTCTTGGGGTTCGAGCCCTGATGGTGGGTGCGTACTGATGAGAGTCCCAAGCTAAGACGAAACAGCTGTCCAGTGCTCCCAGGTTTTCTAATGGTTCTCTAACCAGTGTCAGTTCATGATGAAATCCTGTAACCAATCAAATCAAATCCCTGCAAACCATCAACACTTGAATATAAATTTAATTTTTTGAAACAGTTAGTGACTTTTCGCTTGTGGCAATTCATATGATTGTTGATTATAATTTATAAATTTGTTTCTCTTCATTTTTGTTCAGTACATTAAATACTTGTCCAGATGAAGCTTCGAAATTTGTTCATTTACTTACACGTGGACGTGCCACTTTCCTAATACAATCAGATTTTAATTCACTTATTCAGGTAAGTGTTTTCTATAACTTTAAAATTTTTTTATTACTTTTTTAGGCTTCTGTAAATTTTACGATCCTATTTTCATCACTTTTGTTATCATAATAAACTTGAAGAAAATGTTAACAAGTTCTAAAATTGTCCTATGTGTGTGTTTACAATCAATCTGTCTTGATTCTTTGGAATATTTGTATTTTTAATATTTTATTACATCGCCTCTATCACTTCCTATGTCGTTTTGTGAGGCTGAGCTCCTGATTTGCTAACCATTAGCTCGCGGGTTCGGATATCTCTTGACCTCTTAAGGTTTGTACAGTCAGCTGCACAACAGATGTGGCTCATTGCCAGAAGTATGAAACTGCAAATGCTTTTTGAGTGACACCTTTCTAAGTTGTTATCTACAATTGTTGGAAAAGAGAGTCAAATTCGAGTAATGATGAAGGACATCCCTAAATACCCAAGTTTGAGTGAGTGCCACTTAGACAAAAGTGAAAACGAAGCTCATTCTTGATACAATAGCATAAAATCATGAAAATGCAATTTTATATTGTCTGAAGCCTAGATATGACTATTAAGCAACATTTATGTCACGGACTAGCAAGACTCTAATTCCATCGAAATCATTACCTCATAAGGATTTCACTAATCCACTAAAAGTACATTTTCATTTGTTGAGATCTTATCATCAGCTATGAACAGCGTGATGAAATATAATCAAAGATACAAAGACTGAGTAAATAAGTGAAATATACTCTAGTGTTGTCTGTGTTGTAGTATGATGAATTTCATATATTATTTGCTAATTTCATTTTGTTCTATCTCTAGTTTAATTCCTTTCTGCGTTGTATTCATATTTGAAAAATAAATGTTAGTTTTTTCCTAAAAAGAATTAATTGAAGGTGGAGGTTCCCAACCCCACCACACCCCACTACTTTCTCTAGTTTAAAATGTCAATGATAGTCAATTAATTGGTTGAAAATGGTTACATGTCCTGTGTAATAGATCACAACAGTATTTATAACTAACTGTTGAGCAACAGTATCAGACATACTTTGCCAGGCTTAAGTTATCTAGTAATCAATATGTTATTGTATTCCGCATCACTAGACACTGTTATGTCTGTAACTAAATAGTATAATAAAACATTTCCTATGCTCAGCATAAGTGATGATAAAGCCTACCCCTGAGTAGTACATCAGCTTCAGTGAACTACTAGTCTTGGTATAGTTTCTGTGACAGTAAATGTTGCTTGATATTCGTCATTCATATCTTGGACAGCAGACTTCAGAGTAAAACATATCAAATTGCATTTTCATGAATTTTGTGCAAGTATACCTATGGCGTGTGGTACTGACAACATTTATCAGTACTATATGAGGAGACATTCATCGGTGTAAAGATATCATATAGCAGGTAGATAGATTTGGCGTGAAAGAGATCAAATTAACCAGTGTTGAGACAAAACAGGGGAGACACAAAAAGAAGACAAAGAAACACAATACGAAGGAACGGCAGAAGCAGCACATCATAGAAGATCTGTGCAAGTGACGATTTTCAGATAAGGTGTACATAATTTCGCTATATAGAGATATAACATTGCAAATAAACATTCCATTATCAGGTCTTCTTGTCTTCCACCGTTACATACTGTCTGTCGTCTATGTCGCATCGGAAATATTTCGTTTCAACAGACGATACTATGGCATAGCGCAAATGTCCCTAGTTTGAGTGAGCGCCACTTGAACATAAGTATAAAAAGAAGAAGAATTCTCGGTGGAATTAGCCGCATCAAGTAGCATGAAATCATAAAAATGCATTTTGCTGTCTCCGACCAGCAAGAACTCTGAAGTCATCCAGATAAATACTTCATAGACATTTTCTAGTTCATAATTTAATGTCAAATATCTAAATAGTATATATTATTTCTGTCATTACGTGAACACGGCAACGTTACAAGAAGCGTCGTTGTTAGGCTATGTTATGAGTTCACTCGTCGAATTGTAGTATAATATAAAAGAATAGCGATTTGACATTGATACTGTTATACCTCTGTATGTTTATCCCATTGTTATCAATAGGTTTATTGTTGAACAGTATAATTGTGTTGGGGACTTAGCCATTGACTTACTGTGTGTAATTTAAAAAGACTAGATCCAGTTTATTCAATAGGTAAATAGAAAATACAATTAGTCTTCCATATGAAATACTTTGGGAGATATGGCCAACAGTATTGTTATACTATACGTGTGTTCTTTAGAAATAGAAGTAGAGTATTGATTAACTACTATTCGTTTGACAATCGAGTTAGGAGGAAGACAATTGAGCATAACTCATTCAGTTAGTTTCATTTATCTTTTATTATTGAATAAGAACAACAAACATTGTTGAGTTGTTATTCAAGTGTTGGTTTGTAGGGATTTGATTGGTTACAGGATTTTCATCATGAGCTGACATTAGTTAGAGAACCATTAGAAAACCTGGGAGTACTGGACAGCTGTTTCGTCCTAGTTTGGAACTCTTCATCAGTACGCACCCACCGGGATCAACCAAGTTGAGTTGAATTGAATTCATTTTATTTCGTGTACTGTGTAAATCTTCCATTTGCTCAATAAGTTCAAAGTAATTCATGTACATGTTGATAGTGTAGCATGTTCAATGTCACATGCAAATGTTTTGTTTGGATGTAGGTTCGATGGATTATGAACAAATTTCTCTGGATTCTCTGGAGCACTACAACAGAATAACTGATCATCTTTGACGACACTCTTTGAAAAAGTTCTCAGAAATGTTACACTCGTTTTTAGATTGAATGTTATGCATGAAGTTGAAAAAAAAAACACGTGATTCTGCATATTAAATTTAGTTCTGGAACCATCCTTTCAAAGCTACTGCCCTCTGTTCTCAATCTTGAGATTAATTGTTAGGTACAGTCGATTTGAAATTTTGCAACGCTTTGAAGATTCCTCTTCTTTATAAAGCTGAATTAATTTTATTGACATGGCAATCTGAATTGTACTCATCATTGGAATAATAATAATAATGTGTTAGTTAGTTGCTGTATTTATTTTAATAATTTGTCATTATAGTTCCTTTATATGTGTCATTATAACTGTAAAATATTTCTTCAGCACATCTATTTTTCTGTCTGTCTTTCTTTCTTTCTCTTAGGATATCTTAGAAAGTCATCCTGGTTTAGCTTTCTTAGGTGTAGCTAAAGATTTCCATTCACGATATGTAGCGACTGTTGTAGCACGTATCTTTTTCAATGTAAATATTTCATGGTCTGGTCGTATATCATTGGGTGAATTAAGACGAAGTAATTTCCTATCTGTATTAGCCAGTCTTGAAGTTGAAGACGATATCAATTTGGTGACTCAATACTTTTCATATGAACATTTCTATGTTATTTATTGTAAATTTTGGGAATTAGATGAAGATCATGATTTAATTATAAGTCGTGGCGATTTAGCACGACATAATAATTATGGTAAGTTCATTTTTAGTATTATTATTATTTTTGTGTGTTGATGTTTTGTGTATTTCTGTCATTTAATTGTTTATTATGCTTGCTTTTCTGATGATATACTTTAGTAGCGTAGGAGAATGGAACTAGAATGGGATGCCGATGGGTTGGGCATCCAAAAGTGATATGTAGAGGGGATCATGTGAAGGGGAAATGAAAGCTTGTGAGTAGTTGTGTGCAGCCAGCTGAAAGTGAAGGCAGGGAACCTAGTGCAATGAAGATGTATTGCTGAAACCCTATGTTCCACCACTTTTTACAGGATGGGGTTGCTAGCCTCATGCCCAACCTTTCCTCTTTACCAGCATTATTTCTGGATTAGCGAGGTAAAGGAGTGCGTCGGCCGGGAATCGAACCCCGGACCATATGCATGGTCGGCGAGCGTCCTAACCGCTTGCACATGTTCCACCACTTGGGACGTATTAAATGAATAATAATGATAGTAGTAATAATAATACTACTAGGAATTACACTGTTTGCATGAGACTCTAGTATTTAAGATTAAAGTAATGTTATAGCAATTGTGCGTTTGTGGTTCAATGGTAGAATGCTCGTCAACCACGACGGATGTCGTCCTGGTCCAATTCGTGGTGCCTCGCTTAGCTGATAGTAAGTTCGGTAAAAAAGAAAGGTTGGACTTGAGGCTCGCAACACTACCTTCACTGAAATTTCAATGCACAAGCTTGAAACCTTATGTTCCACTGGGGGGACGCAAAGGAATAAGTTTCGAGTATTCACTGCTTATTTTGCTGGTATGAGTTGTATTTCAATTTTCGTCAATGAATACTGTGTGCCTAATTGTAGTAAAAAAAAAGAAAAACTGATTTTCTCCCCACTTATAATTGTCAAGTTAAGTCTGGCGGTAATCTTTCTCGTCGTCGGTGCTTATTAATCAGCAGTCAAGTGTAATAAAAATTAAAATCATTTAAGCTAGGTTGCGAAGTGACATCAGTTAGGAAATCATAGAAAACCAGGGAGTGTTGCATGTGTGTTTCATTCTAGTAGTACGCACCCACGAACCCCCCGGGGACTGAACTCAGGACCTTCAGGTTACGAGGCGAGTTCATTGACCGTTCAGCCATTGGGACAGAATCTAATGGCCAGTCCATGAATTCCAATTTCTGTAAATTCGCGACTTTTAGTGGCACCACTAACCAGTTTGATGGGTGTATGTGTGTGTATTTGTCTCCATAGCCGACCTGGTTGACACTCACTGGTCACGACTTCTCACTAGAACCCCAGGCAACTTCATCCTGTAGACAGTCAGTAATGTGCATTAGATTATTTTTCGAGTGTTGGTTATCCGGGATTAACCAAACCTTAAATCTTTCTGATTCGTTCAAACCAAATCCTTGAAAAATAACAGTTTTTACTTACTGTTATGCCCTAGGGAATTTCGCAAACTCGTTGTCTTGGAAAAAATTAATAGTTTGACAAGGCTTTGCAGTGTATGTAGGACTTGTTGTTTTGAGTGATAGAATTCTAAGTCAGTCAGTCAGTCTTTAGTTATGGATATCATATAGTGATACATAAAAAAACCAGTGTAGTAACCTTGCGTAAAAGTTAGACGGTTCATTTCGCAACACTTAAAGAATACGATTACGTATCAGATTTAGTAGTGACTAACTTGTCTCAAAAGCTTAGGGACTGTGATATCTAATGGTTTAGGGAATAATGCTTTGGGGTGCCCAGCCTGTCATATGCTCTGGTGGTGCACTCGTGACGTTTTGTTACTAGATCTGCCAAGAGTGATGGGATATTGCTCTGCCTAGTGGTTGTGTGCAAGGTTTGAAGAGGGTTGTATGCCATTATATAATATATATTATATATATATATATATTATGCCCTGATAATGTTTCAAGTGGAGACGTGGCTCCTTGGCTTGAGCAATAGGCTTCCAACTAGTGGATCCTGGGTTCACCTACTTCAGCCTGGGCAACTGGATGGTATCATCAGCCCTCATACAATAAGTGTGGCACTCATAGTCTGGAATATGAAAACCTGTTCTGCGGATTGAGTTCAAATAACTATGGTAAACGGTTTTCAGTTAAACAGAAAGAATCTTATCAACCAACAGCTGTTTACTATCTGTGTTCATATTATTATTATTTTTCATATTTAGATGGAATGTGGTATAATTTCCTGATATCACAAGGTTTTAGTTGGCTTTCGTATTTAATACACTTATCATTTGTTGTGTGCACATGTATGCACTCATAGACCCTTCAGTAGAGAAATTTTTTCACCATTAGGAGTGTTTACTTTCTACAAATAACCTTGAAAAGTGGTGTTCGAATAAACACTACATCAGCATTATTACTACATTTCTTATAGTATTACAATCATTATCTTTCGTATGTTGGAAAACAATCACTTTTTTATTGTACTTTTGGCGTTTGACCTGATTGTTTGAAGTTTAATAAAAAATATCATTTGTAATGTACTTTTGTATTCGTAGCTTTCAATATCTGATGAACTTTTTATGCAAATATTTTGTGATTGATTGATTGATTGGTAAAGCCTCTAAGGTGTTTGAATTAATTAATGAGTTAATTAATGACTTTCAAACAACTTTAGTTTTTTCTCATATGTTCAAATCATAACAGATAGCTTCTGTAAGTAAGACAATAACTATTAGTGTGTGTGTGTGTGTGACTAACTTATTAGGTCGGGTGAATTTTGTTGTGATAGAATATGATGCATCAGTGGTTGTTTACTAGTGGAATGCTCGCCTGCCACACAGGAGGTGGGAGTCTGATTCCCTCTCGTCGCTGGTAGGTAAATCCGGGAAAGAAGGTAGGTCGGGTGTGAGCCTGCCAAATTCATCCTGTAGAAGGGATACTGCCGCTACTGAGACCTCAAAGCCTGAAGCCCTCCGATGTTCCACTCAGAACTCAAGGGGTGAAAAAACTTGGAGTCATGCATGCATGTTATGCAAACAACCATAGAAAGGCGCTCAAGGTAACAATTCTGACTCTTAATTTAAGTAGACTATCGATATAAGTTCAATTCTGATTAAATGTATCTCGGTGATTATAAAACACACCTTGTTCTAAAAACATCTGCCATTTGTAAAAAAATCCTAGTAAAAATATAAAAAACATAAAAGTATAGCACATTTCTTCTTAATTTCTCTTTATTTGTTTAATTAAACTTTTAGCTATATCGGAGCGTATGATTGACCGCATATTCAGTGGAGCTGTAACAAGGTAAGTAATTTAGATGGTGAAAGAACACTGTTAAATGTCGTATTATTATTATTATTAAAACATACATGTACTCAATAGCGATTACACTTATCAGAATATGAATGTTCTACTTGAATGGCATTCATTAATTTCCTCTTGCTCATGTATTATGTATAGAGGTCTAAACTGTGAGTGAATGTGTTTACTAATTGCATTTTTTAAACACTTTTGATTTACAATAGCTTAAACATTCCTATTTGTTATTCTTTCTTTAGATTATTCATTAGGCAATTTAATGTAATTATCAAGTTGAAAAGCAGTCTAAACCTACTTACTGACTTTTGAATAAAATAATTTCAAACCTTTTCAATATGATTTTTTCATCAAATGTGATATTTGTGCTTCAAGATCATTAGTGAGAACCGAAACTTTCTTAAATATGAGATTTGGAGGCTATCTATGACTTTTTGCGGACATTAATTTTTTGGAGTTATGTTGAATATTCTTAAATTTTTGTAGAAAGACAAAGCTGGTTTGGTATTTGCCAACTTGCACTATCATATCCGACTATCGATTAAAGGATGTGAGAACTACGCGGTCGTTGAAAGTGGCAGACATGACGAGACTGTCTACATTTGACCACGTGTTATATTTGGTGAATATGCTGAGTAATATTGAGGTTAGGCATAAAGTGTTAGGTGTAAGGTGGTGGGGAGAGTCAATCGACGAGATTGTGAAGCTAGAATATGTGTTACGCATTCCGAGCCATTGCCTTCCTCGTCGAGCACGATTTTAACCGACACACGGTCGGATTGGAAAAGAGCCAGAGGTGGTCAAACCAAACCTGAAATCCATCCATGAAGTCTTCGACTTTTAGTTTCAACCATTTAGGGAGGGAAGTGTAGACTGTTTAGCTTGAGTTCCTTGAGACACTAAAAACCAATGGTGAGAGAGATAGACTGTTGCTAACACAGCTGAAAATCTTTCACTCTTTGTCATCTTCTAGATCCTTCTTCTGTAAATTTTCGCTTATCATTAGTTTCTTTGCATTTCTCTTTTTCTCTTACTACCTACCTTTATGTGTGTTTTTATAAAGAGTGTGACAAGTTGAACTGTAGCACTTTTCTGCAAAGTTCTACATTCAAAATTCACTTCAGTCAGTTCCAGAGACAGAGGCAGATGGTATTTTATAAAAAGTAAAAAGTAAACCTTCAGGATTGAAATTACCTTTTAAAAATTTTGTGACATTTAAAAAAAGTACTCATAAGTCTTCAGTGTTTCGAAAAAGTTCATCGTTAAAATCTGTACATGTAATGATTGAATAGAGGGCGAAGTTAAACTTTAAGCACCACTAACAACCAACCAGCGAATGACCTTGAGCGCACCAATCACATGAAGGAGGAATTTTTGGTTATGGAAATCATATATTTATGAAAAAATGCATAAAACTGTTACACAGCATACCTTTCTCTGACATGTGATTAAAACATCTCCCAGTTTAGCATAAGAGTATCAATTGAAAAGTTACACCACATTCTGTACATATATTCATCTAAATGACTATCAATGACATCCTTCTGAGATCCATTAATGGCCCTAATCCTGTTTTTTAATCTTCCCTAAAAGCCTTCGATAGAATTAGTGTGGGTCCCTGTAATTGGATCCAAAAAGTCATTGGTGCGGTTTACTCTGTGATGAATATATCCCAGAGATGACAAGGAGTTATATCCTTTCCACTCATCTGTGTGCATTGTAGATCCTCGTTTCACTAATCGAGTAATAATAGGTATTAAGGAGGTTGACTTTCTGTCTGTTATCCTCTCAACGAATCCTTTCTGTAGAGAGGTGTCATATAAGCCGATTACCAAAACATTGTTTGCTCGCTCACGACGACGGTTGTATTTTTTCTTCAATAAGACAGTTTCGTCCACGTGTACGATGATACCTTCTCCTCCCAATAGCGAGGTAATTCTCTCCATTTTCCATGACGTGATATCTATGCAGTGCTGGTACCACTAAACTGTTGATACGAGCCTATTTTCAGTTTGAGCAGCCGCACCTCTCGCAAGCTATTTTAAAATCCACTAATTACAAATATACAAAATCTGAGTTAAGGACAGATGGGACCTGGCAAAAAATGTTCCTACGAAATATTAGGATCATCAGCTTACCCTCCCTAACACTCACTAGTCTCAGACAAATTGCATGACGATGGACATATCCATCAATCGACCTGCTGAAGCTTTTTATACTCATGACACCTCCACATGAACAAATCCTTTCCTTCCTAAGCAACCCCGCATCCAAGAGAAACTGGAAAACTTTATCCTCACCAAACTGCAAGGGCAACTGCTTTGGAGCAGGTGTTTGACTCGAATCAAGCGGAAGAGAACCTTCAACTCATGTGGATGAAACTCATTGTATCACTCAAGGTCATTCTCTGATTGGTTGTTAGTGGTGCTTACAGTTTAACTTGGCCGAATAGAGCAGTAGTAGTACCATGAGAGAGTACTCATTACTTGGATATATTTATATGTATATGATTTTAGCCATTTTGTTGGCAAGCTTACGTATGGTGTTTGTGCTGTATGTTTTTATTGTTTTCCTCTGAATCTATTATTTAAAATATTATTATTATTCTAAAACTTTTATTCTTAAATTCTTTTAAATTAATATTATCTGTCTCATTGAGTCGTTGTGTTGTTTTATTTTAAACCAACTGTAATAATAATAAAATAATCTCTTCTTTTTTCTTATCCACACATATTTTATATACAAAGAACTCTGTTGTCTCACAGTTTTAATTTGAATAATTAAATTGTAATAATTGTTCTAGAATAATACACTTTAATCTAGGGTCCCTAGTGTGATGAGATTTTCAGTAGTCTTCAGGCATTGTTATGTGTGCATATGCATATGTATATCTATATCTAATATAATATATATATATATATATGGTGGTACATCGGCATATAAACTGAAGGAATTTGTTATTATTGTTATTTATTAATTATCTTACACCCTTATTTGTCTATTCATTCATTCATTCACCCGTGAACTCATTTGTCGTAAAATATTTCTCATCTTAGATATTATTGTTATTATTATTTTATAGAAGTAGAAAGTGTATGCTTTTATTTCTGTTTGTAGTCTTTCTGTGTGTTTAATAGTAAATTAATGTGGTAACAGCAAAATGGTAAAATAATAGAATTAGTAAAAAAAAGTGATTTGGTTGACTTCAGTTTTTATGTGATACAAACAAATCAAGGATATTTCTACAAACTCCAGGGTGGAAGTATATATATAACCTTAACCATCGCATTCCTCGATGGTCAGTGTTAAGCTGACACAGGATCAGGTTGAAAAACCAAAACTTGTCATCAGTCCATGTAATCTTGGATAGTTAGTTTAAGCCAGCCACGTAGGGGGGGGGGGGCGGGGAAGAGACGGTGTAGACTGGTTTCCTGGTTGGGATCGTCGAGTTGCTAAGATTCACCAATGGCTGGAGACACTTGGTGATATGGTTCATTGGTGAGTACATGTATTCACTGTTTGTGATTGGCCATATCCATCAAGTCGTCATGTTTTTCCATGTTGTTATTCCTTCTCCCTCATATTTCTGCTTATTATCGATCATTTGAATCTCTTTCTCTCTCTCTGTCTTTTGTCTTCCTTTATGTGCTATATGGAGTGTGGCAACTCGAACTGGTGGAGTTTCTGCATCGAAGGCAGTCTCTCTCTCTCCGTACAGTGGTAAATATCTCGATTTCTCAGTGCTGTCGATTTATATCAAGCTATTATAGATTGAAGTTGAAATGTTACTTACTTGATTATCACTGAAGAGTCTCAATGCAATCTGAAGTGAATCCTTCAATAATATTTCCTTACGTATGATTTTAGCAAAAAAAACAACACCTGACATCAATCCATGAAGTCTGTGACAGTTGGTTTGAACCACCTAGGGATGGTGTAGACTGACTGACTGGAGTCCTCGAGTTGCCAAGAGTCAGTGGTTAGAGACAGTTGGTGAGACCGTTTGAAATTGATATAAGAATAGAACTTGGGTAGTGTGGTAGAGTGTATTATTATTATTGTTTCCTTTAATTCCTAGAGGAACATAGGGCTTCAGCCGTGCGTCTCCATTGCGTTCGGTTCTCTGTTAGAGTCTTTACCTGGCTCCATGTCTGTCCACACGTTTTCATCTCCTCTTCACATGACCTCCTCCAAGTCACCCTTGCACTGACGACCAACTCGCCGCTTCCCTTTCGGGTTCCACTCGAGCAATGGCTTGTCTAGTGATATCACTTGATGGTTTGTTTCCTCAGAGTATGGCCAATCCATCTCCATTTCTTCCTGCCTATTTGTTTCACAATCGGTTCCTGGTTGGTTCGCTCCTAGAGACCCATCTGATCTTGAGTATTGAGCGAAGACAACTGTCAATGAAGGTCTGTAGTTTGTTTGAGATGCTCTTTATGACGCTTTACTCGCTTCGGCGGTACATATACTAAAATTGGAACGATACAGAGAAGATTAGCATGGCCCCTGCGCAAGGATGACACGCAAAATCGTGGTAGAGTGTAATTCCACCAAATATGGAAAAATCAAACGATAAGAAATAATGGAATTATATGAATTTGGAAAGTTATGTGAGTGCCTTTATATGATTATGAGCAATAAAGTGTGCTCAAAACATCATTAGTAAATAATACTGTATCACAACACTGTGACTTTATCAGATAAATTTACTCCATGATGGAATCATTCGAAATAGGTCTCATTGGTGCAAAATGTATTCACTCTTTGTAGACTTTTAGATTAGCCGACATACAGTAGAGTTGAAGAAGAATTAGAAGTGGTCAAACCAAAACCTGACATTATTTCATGAAGTTTTTGATAAGTTGGTTTGTGAGTCAGGTAGGTAGTAGGCGTGTCGACTACCTGGTTGGGGGGGGGGTTGTCGAGACTCTAAGTACCAGTGACTTGAGATTGTTGGTGACACGGTTCAAAATCTTCTTTAGTGGTTCAGATTCATTCTTTGTAATTGTCTAGATCCATCAAATCTTCATATTTTTGCATGTTACTACTCTTTCTCATGCACATATCTCTATTTTCGTGTACTGCATGGAGCCTGGCAAGTTGAACTGCTGCACTTTTATGCAAAGTTTTATGTTGAAACTGACTTAGTCAGTTAGCATATTTTCAATACCTGTAAAAAATAGATCAACTTTGTAACACTGAAGACTTGATTCCTACCAATCTTCCTTAAAACTACTAAATATTTACTAGATAGGCTGAGTGACTGACTGGTTTTAACATAGAACTTTGCACAGATGTGCAGAAGTTCGAGTTGCCATACTCCCTACATGTAGCACACAAAGCAAGAGAAGAGAGTAAACAGAGATTCAAAAGAGAGAAAGATAATAAACAGAAATATGAGGCAAAAAGAATAGTAATATCGAAGAACAATATAATTTTATTGATTATTATAAATCACAAAGAGTGAATGTATCTGCACCAGCCACTGAGAACGATTTTGAGCCATATCACCAATTGTCTCCAGTCTTCATTGGTTCTTACCATCCCGAGGACCCCAACCAGACAGCAGTTTACACCTCCCTATGTGACTGGCTGGCTTAAACTAACTGTTGTGGATTTCATTGACTGATAAAGCCATGTTTTGGTTTGACCGCCACTAGCTTTCTTCCAACCTAATCCATCCTATGTCAGCTAACATTGACCGTCGAGGAAGGCAATGATTTACTAGATAGACAGAGTACATGTTTCTTATAACTTTACAGCATGTTATCAGATACCATGCTTTTAAGTTGACTTTCAACCCAGACTTATTTCTAGATTTAATGTTAAACCTTTAGGGTACATATATGATTTATAAAAATGTCAAATCTACTATTATTATTATTATTGGAGAAAACCTTTTCATGTGACATTCTTAGCAAGCTTTGCATAGTTCAGTATACCAACCACAATAAAGAGTTGAATTCTCATAAGGTGGTTGAAAATAAGCATTATTGACAGATGTGTAACTACTGCAAAAAACACTGTTGTTTATGGTTTCGATTTAAAGGTAGTACTGGGATGTTGTAGAGACATGTCTGCATCCTGTCGTCTTTTTTTCTACATTTTGACTCATTGATTACCTTACTTATCTCAGTGTATTTCTGTCAATATATCCTTCTTGTTTATAATATCCTCGTTTTGACGCGAAACAACTGTTTAAAAAACACAATATCAATACATCTTAGAAGTAGTTGTTTGTTTTCTCTGTTACCATGACGTTTGTCATTCGACATATATGTAAACTTCAATGTGTGTTAGTTCTTTTTTCCCCTGATTTATGTTAGCCACCACTTCAACTGGTTAGACAAAGTTAACTGGTTTGAACAACTGAACTCACTAACGGAGAAATAATATGTGTACGTAAATGACTAAACATATAATTAAAAACGTTTAAGTTGCTGAAGTTTTTAGTCCATTAACCAAGTAGTTCTCCGTCATTTGTTCAAGGCGAAAAAAAATGGAATGTTATTGAACAACCACTTGTGACAGAGTAAGTCACACACTTGTTGTGTGTGAAAGAGCTAGTGATACTAACTGCCTGCCACAAACCTGGATAGGTGGAGTGGGGCTGGAACCCGTGACTACTCAATGGTTTGGAGTCGAGCCTGGTAGACCAGTGGCCACCACAGTTCTACAGTAATTCATTTGTTATGTGCTTTTCAGGTAAATTTTTAATTTTTACCCTTAGAAAATACTAAGGGTACTAATAGTTCTAAGATGTTTATTCTGTCGGAATTTGTAAATAGTAGTATCAAAATCATTTACCCTTCTTCACTGTCATTTAAATAGTATGTATTATTAGAGGAGTTTAAAAAGTGTCAGTTGATTCACTTCTAGCATTACACTTCTACATATAACAGGATAGATAACAGGGTCAGCGTATATTATACAGCAGAAAGTTTCATTTTAATATCCAATTACTTCTTATAATTCAGTCTGTCACGTTAAGGTCCTATCTACAAACATTATTGGATTCTGGTCTTAACCAGCATATGTTGATGTGTGCATTTTATGACCAGAAAAGGTAAGCAACATATGCAAATCTGTTAAAAAAATCAACCATGAATCTATTGCCCAACAAATCTACAGAAGGAAACGGAAATGGATTGGACATACGCTGAGGGAAGAAGACCTTTGTGTAACATCATGCTCCAGACGCTCGAGTGGAATCTGAATGAGCGAATGAACGAATTGGGCGTGAGTCAGAGGGTGATATATAGGAGATCCTGTTGTGTGTGGGTGGGGGGGGGAGAAATGAAAGCTTTATGGGCAATTGTGGAGCCAGTTAAAAACAAGTGCAGAGAATAGAGTGAAATGGAGGTGTGCTGCAGAACCCAAGGAGAAATAATATAATAAATTAGCTCATTTCTTTTCTTTATTGGATGTGTGACCGTATTTTCCATCGATAATAAGCGTCGAGTGTCTCTTTAAAGTAGTAGTAGTATGATGAATAAATTATGCTTTTAATTTAAGTATGATTAATTGGAATTAACAAGTTTAAATGTCAGGTTTCCTCAATGGTTTAAATTGCAGAAGTTAGAGTAATTGAACTCTCTTCATATTAGCCATTTGCGTCGGTGGCATAGCGGTTAGGACGCTTGCCGACCATGCACATGCATATTAGCCATACTCTGATGACGAAAAGCTTTTATTTGTATAAAATTTGTCATGGTTGTAATTCTTAGTAAGTTTTAAAAAAAAACAAATTTACATTTTATCTTTCAGAGGGACAGCTTTTAAAGAAGGTGTAATGACCTATCCAGATTTTGTTTGGTTTCTACTGGCTGAAGAAGATAAACGTCATCCTAGAAGGTAATTATGTAACTGTTGTCGGCTGATTTTTATTATCCTAGAAAACTTTCTATGTTCATGTTTTATTTGTAGTCTTCCTTTAGAAGATTTGCTTTTGTATAACTGGTAGCTTAAATTCTAGTACGGAAGACATTGAATTGATTTTCACGAGTCAGTAGGTATTTGATTAGCTTCAGGTTTGTTCACGGATTAGTGTCAATTGGAGAATCATTGAAAGCCAGGGTGTACTGGGCAGTTGTTTCATCCTCTAATTTGGGACTCTTCGGCAGTACGCACCCACTACCGCACCGGGGATTGAACCTGGAACCTTAAGGTTACGAGACCAAACGTGTTGACCATTCAACTGACATCATTCCGTGATCAAACTGGAAACAAATCAAATCCCTACAAACGAACCGTTGAAAATTGATCTGATGCCCAATAATGACTGGCTGCAGAAGAAGAGGAAGTTGTCTGGAGTTCTGGTGGAGAAGTCGTGACCAGTGGAGTTCACCAGGTCGGGCGGGTGTGAAAACAAATTACTCCCCCGATGATACTGGCTGGTGGTCGCGCTAAAATGGCGGACTGACAGATGTGAGAATTCATCAGCTGGCCATTGGATTCTAGCCGAAGTGCCTGCCTGAATGGTCAATAGTCTCTCTCACCTTGTAACCTGAATGTTCTGCGTTCGATCCTTGATACGGTTGTGGGTGCATAACGCTGAAGATTATTAACCAAGCTAGGAGAAAACCGCTGTCCAGTACTCCCTAGTTTTCAATGATTTTGTAACTCATATCAATCTGTGACCAAGCAGTTGATGGATCAACTGCGAAAAACACTACATTGGCCAAAGTGGACGTCCCCTTCGTCTTCGTATCCACGAACATAAGCTAGTTGTCAAAAGACATGATATCCACTCCCTCATATCACTACATACAGACAACCACGGATATCAATTCGACTGGGACAACGTCAAATATTAGACAGAGGAACAAGAATGCTAGAGGATTTTAGAAGCTTGGCATTCTAGTGAATCATCAATCAATAACACATCGAGATAACAATAAAAGTAAAAATAAATAAAAAAAACAATCACGTCAAGGTCGCCAGGAAAGATGATTAATAAACTCGTGGAGAAATCTAAAAGCTCACTTCAAATTGAAGTATGCGCTGAAGATGTCACCCAGTAGGGTGATGAAAGCTTCGCAAATTAACTATCCAGCTCAGAGAACACAACCACATCAAAATCATCCACCTGAGCTACAAATCTTCTCTATCATATCTAAATCTTACGAGCGGGAAACCATTCTAGTGTATAGTAGTTGTTGTAGTACTGAAAATTGGAGCTAATGTTTTGTTCCATTCGTTGAAGACACTTATGAGATTCCCAGTCTGGTAGAGGTTATTTTTTTCACTACTTTTGTATGTTTCTCATTAATACTATAGACTAGGGTTAAGTTCTATCTTACTTTTATTCTGAGTTAATGGTTTTCTTAGTAACACTTGAAAACCTTGTGTCCAATCCTATTAACAGTCAGTACTATTATGAACCCACATAGTCTTGGATATTCAGCGTTTTAGAGGTAAAGGCAGACGTAATAAAATAATTCTTTATGTGAGTATAACTGTGTTGTACCTTTGTTAAATTTCTATTTTCACAACTTTAGCATTGAATACTGGTTTCGATGTATGGATTTAGACGGTGATGGTGTCCTGTCAATGTATGAATTAGAATATTTCTATTCAGAACAATTGGCTCGTATGGAAGAAATGGGTATTGAACCGATATCATTTGAAGATTGTTTATGCCAGTGTTTAGATATGGTGAAACCAGTTCTTGGAGATAAAATTCGTCTATCTGATATGAAACAATGCCGGTTATGCCATATCTTTTTTGATACATTCTTTAATTTACCTAAATACTTACAACATGAACAACGTGATCCATTCGCTAATCTGAGAGTAAGTCTTTATAGGCGAGTATATTTAGTTGTGTTCTTTTTTTTTGAAAAAAAATTTATTCCACTTACACACATAATCAAAGATCTCTTGGTCATTAAGTAAGGTTGAGTTGATCAATTACTTAAGTAAAGTCTGTCAGGGAAATAATATAGTTTCGATCATTTTATCCTCATCTACTAAGCCCTCTCACAAATTTCATCTTAGATGTGAAGGGACTTTAGTGTGATTCCGTGCGAGGAATACCAACACCTAGATAGATAGATACTAGTGCGTCAGTGGCACAGTGATAGAATGCTCGCCAACCACGCATGTGATCCGGGACTCGATCCCCGGCCACAGACGCACTCCTTAACCTCACTAAGCCAGTAATAAGACTGGTAAAGAGGGAAGGTTGGGCATGAGGCTAGCAACCCCATGCAGCAAATATACCACTGCTACCGAAACTTCAGGCCTCTAGCTTGAATCCCTATGTTTCACTGTGAAAGTAAAGGAATAAAAAAAGATAGATACTAGATAGCAGCATTATGTTCAGTCGTGTTAAGTTTGCCCTATACTTTAACCCGTTAGTGTAATTATTGTAAGCTATACCAATTTCTACATTGAAGTAATCAGCTATTCGGTGAAGCTGTTAATAAACAGTCAACGTCAACGGATTGGGTTGCGCATCCGAGAATGACATGGTGGCGGAGATCATGCAAGGAGCAAATGAAAGCTTGTAGGCACTAGTCAGTAACTAGTGTCCAATCAAAAATATCCAATACAGTCCTACAGGAGGTCAATCGCGAGCCTGAATAGCTCAGTAGTACCATCTCTGACTGCAGCACTGGGTAACACGGGTTCGAATCTCAGAAGGGATATGAGTTCCTTCGAGGTTGCAGATACGCCTTGCTGACTGGTGAGTGCCAACTAGCACGAAACCTAGGTGGAGCAAGGCTTCCTGTTGATTGCCTCCAACCATCTAATATGACAAATCATATTTGAATTATGAGAAAAACAGCAAAACACTCAACCTGAACTTTGTGAAAATAAATATCTGCCGTTAATACATCCCACCCAGTCTTCTGTATTATGATTCAACATTTCTTCTTTTTTCTTTCTTTAGAAACTTCACTGTTTTAATGTAAGCTTTTATTATTTCTTCACAGGCAACAATACACACTCTCACACACTATACTGTTGAAATGCACTGATACATAACCATAACCCCATCTCAGTATTGTATATACGTGTATTATTTAGAAACTTGTTTACAGTTTTTTTGGATCACGTTTATGGTTATTCACTTTGAAAGTAATAGAAATTAAAGAAAGAGGCCAAGATGTTCAATTATTATTGCGCTTCTTATAGCTCTACTTTCACTTCTTCGTAACCATGCAGGATAGTGTTCTCGCACCCTTTTGGACAAATCCCGTGTCGAAAAACTGATATACTTAGCTCCTCAGGAGCAGGCCAACTGGTAAGCATACATAGAGTTGGTCAACTGCTGGATCTTGTCCGTCAAGTAATTGGCAAACAGTAGTATCCAAGGAAATGCTATATATGAACCTTGAATTCAAAGGCAACTTAGCTGGCGATATCCTTAAAAGAAGGATTTCACAGTCCCCTGAAAATGACATTCAGTGCAGCATCGTTGAGAATAGTGCTTTCTAGTTGACCATTACTGTTCAGTAAGCTGAAGGACAAGATCCCACAGTTGACCAACTCTAACTCTATGTATGTTTGTCAGTTCACCTGCTCCTGGGGAGCTAGATATATCAGTCGTTCGATACAGAGTTTTTAAAAAGGGTGCGAGAACACTATCCTGCTGCATGGTTGTGAAGAGGTGGAAGGTGAGCCATAAAAAGTGCAATAATTGAACATTTAGTCGATACTGGTCACCTTATTTCTACAAGCTCTTCCTCATAAGACGAAAAATAACCCACCGAAATCATTAAGTAACAAGAAGTTACCTATTACTTAATTATCACTCACTAGTATAGTGTAAGGTAGAATAAATTTTGAAATAGTGAGGAATATTTGTAACTTAGGTGGATGGATGTTTTTAGTGTTGTTGTTATGTTCTTTGAGCTGGATGCTTTGTAGTTGCGAAGCTTTCATTTTATTTTGGGGCAGCATCTTCAATATGAATTTTATGAACTAGGTATAGGGATTTTCAATGATGGTGAATAGGAGGATATCTAGCAAATAATTTTAACATGGTTGTGTAGTTCGAAAGTGTTGGTTTTCAGGAATTAAATTGATCGCGAACTGACTTCAGTTAGAGAACCATTGAAAACCAAGAATCAGTGAACAGCTGTAACGAAACTAAATGATTCCACCAGGCCGATCCCTGGCAAGGGGGTCCTTGATTCTGTACTGATGAGGAGTCCCAAGTAGGGATGAAACGGCTGTCCAGTACTTCCTTGTTTTCAATGGTTCTCTAACTAAATTCACTTTTTGTGATCAATCTTGTGTAATTTTGATTTATAGTTTTGGATTCTTGTGAACACTTCATTTAATTTTGTGTGTGCGTGTATTTCTCTTTGTGTAATGATAATTGGCGATATGTTTGAATTTTTAACTTTCACTGAATGGGTCACTTGCGTTGGCTTGCATAGCTTGGCAGTACCGTTTGTCCTCCTCACACAATAAGCATAACCAATTGCTTAGTTTATGTACATATATTCGACGTATGTTAGTCACAGCTTAACCTGAGTCAAGTGTTTCAGTCGATTCTGTCTGTCTGTCTGTTTTCGACATAGAACTTTGCACATATGTGCGGCAGTTCAAGTCGCCACACTCCATGTAGCACACAAAGCAAGAGAAGAAAGTAGGAGAAATGCATAATAATATAGACAGTAAACAGAGGTGTGAGACAAAGGAATAGTAATAACGAAGAACAAAACAGTTTCATTAGAAATCATAAGTCACAAGGAGTGGATGCATCTGCACCAGCCACTGACAACGATTTTGAGCCATGTCACCAATTGTTTCCAGCCATCATTGGTTTTTACCGTCCCGAGGACCCCAACCAGGAAGTCGATTGAATTTAGTGGTTAGTGGAAAATTTCATCCGTCGGCTGTCTCTCTCTGTCACACACACACACCAAATTATGCCGTATTTCAGCGTATATTTTCCGGAAACTTTCTTTTCTTTTTGATAAAGGTGGATTTAGTTAGCAACTCAAATTAAACTGAGCAAAACTATGAAATGCTTCTTACACACATATAATGAGAGAGAGAGAGGTGAAATGAGTGATCAACAAGCAAGATATTTTAGTAGAACGTTGCATCTGTTTCATCTTATGCTTAAATCCTTTTGAAGTGATGATGTACTCTGAAACTATATCTTATTTTAATGATATTTCAAATATATTTCCAAGGATTCCAAAGTAACTGAACATTGTTATTTGGTGGAGGATGACAGGTAATGGAATCCAGGATGTGCATTTAGGACTTGCCAGCTGGATGTAACTACAATCCACAGTGAGTAATGATGTTCCCACTGAGATTCGAACGCCAAAGCGTCGTTATCCATTAGACCACTTGGGCTACACAGAAATTGACTTCAACAAGATAATAACTGAACATTGATTTACTTTTCTCAAATGAGTTATAAATATACGATATATAAAATATCAATGATTACTTTTTATTGTTTTATTTTTCATATAACTCTACCTAGGATATTGAAGAAGGCCTTAATGAATTATCTGATTGGGATCGATATGCTGCTGAAACCTATGAAATGCTGGTCAATGTTGAAGGCGGAGGTAATCAAGAAGATGAAGTCGACGACGATGATGAGGATGATGATGAAGAGGATGGAGATGAAGATGGTGATGATGACGGTGCTGGTGGAGGTGGGGGTGGTGGTGGTGGTGGCACTGGTGGTGGAAGTGATGAACAAGGCGATTTAGCAGCTGCAACAACTACTATCTCATTGTCTAATAAAAATGATAAACTAGGCGGGAAAGATAATACTGGATCTTGTGCACTGGCTAATAAACTTGAAACTGTTAGCAATGATTTAATGGCGCTAGAGTCAGCTGTTGGAGCTGGGGAGTGAGTGAGTGAGTCACATAATAATAATCACTTTATTCCACAACAATAACAATTTACAGTATGGAATTTTCAGCGTTTCTTTTGCATATTGCAATGGTTTAGCTCTGTTTATAATTATATAAATGTATAAGATGTTAAAATATTGATAGTTAATAGGAAAAATAAAACCCCCAACAAAATCACACCATTGCTAGGTCATAGTGAATAATAAATAAATAATATAACAAATCACACATGCAATAATATGCATCATTACATTTTTTAGTTTAGTTAATCATTTAAAAGTTGTAAAAGTTCTTTTCTGATATTTGTCTCTTCACACAATACTCGTGCCAAATATGGTACGGTCGAATTTTTATATTTTGTAGTTCGAGCATAAATGTTTATGAAATTTCTTCTGGTCTTACCCGAAGAGATACAAGGAAACAATTGTGAATAAAGAGGATGTTCACTATCAGACAAGATAACTTTAGCTAAGTGTTTACAAGAATTCATATGCCTATTGACAACAGTGTCAGTTAGTTGAGTCAAAGGGATAGCACTGACCCTACTTACAGCCTTCAATGTTCTTCGTAGTATTATATAGTCTTTCTTGAGTAGCCCAAGGAAGAATAATGGAGAACAATAGAGAATGATGGGCAAAACACATGAATTAATAAATTGTATGAGAAGAGGTTGGGTTAAAAAAAGAGTGATTAATCTCGAGTTATTTAATGTTGATCACTTTCTGTTTTCACAACGTCCTGTTTAAATCAATGCTGGGTAGATTATGTTTAGAAAAAATATTGAACTCAATGCAATGGGGTTAGTAATTCCACAATGAGATGTATGGATTTATCAATAGGCTGTTTATCATGCATATTGTTGCTTTTTAGACCTGATTAGCAAAAGTGCAGATGCATTCACTCCTTTTGCGACCTCCCATATCCATTGAACCCTCTTGTTTTTCCATGTTACTATTCTTTCTGGTTACCCCCCCCCCGCTTCTCTACCTTTGTGGGTTATTTGGAATGTGTCAAGTCGAAAGTAGAATGTCAATAAGTTATAGCTTCACTATTTTATAAAGTATAGAAGGATTTATTTGTATTACGACATGTTTTATTAAAACACAAACTTGGTATGTTGTAGGCACCAAGAGATGCGCCACACAAAATCTGACATTTTGTGCGGGATACTGCCCGGACGCCGAGACTGAAGCACGTGTTTGTCATAAGGGGCCAACCCTTTGACTTGAAGTCTGATCCTCCAAGAGGCGGTGGAGCAGCGTCAGGGGCTGCGTTCCCATGGTTTCCGGTGACCAAATCAGATTCATACACCATTAGATCCATTCGGATTTTGGCGCCCATGTATACCATAGGTTTGGAGTCTAGGTTTTTCAGCTCTCCTAGTTAGATCAGCATATGCACCAATCTTTCACTACTCTCAAGTCTGTGTGGAGGTCAACAGCACTCTCAGTATGAAAAATAAGATCCGGATTTTCAACTCCAATGTGAAGTCAGTGCTACTATACGGATCAGAGACTTGCATTGCGCGTCATAAAGAGCATCTCAAACAAACTACAGACCTTCATTAACAGTTGTCTTCGCTCAATACTCAAGATCAGATGGCCAGAAAAGATCAGCAACAGAGATCTCTGGGAGCGAACCAACCAGGAACCGATTGTGAAACAAATAGGCAGGAAGAAATGGAGGTGGATTGGCCATACGTTGAGGAAACCATCAAGTGACATCACTAGACAGACCGTCGAGTGGAACTGGGATGGGAAGAGGCGAGTTGGTCGTCAGTGCAAGGGTGAAGGTCATGTGAAGAGGAGATGAAAAGGTGTGGGCAGACTTGGAGCCAGGTGAAGACTGTAGCAGAGAACCGAACGCAATGGAGACGCACGGCTGAAGCCCTATATTCCTTTAGGAATTAAAGGAAACAATAATAATAATAATGCACCAATCTGGTTGTAAGCGTCAGACATTCGCAAACACCCATTCACTTTTGTTAGGAACACTCCCGCTGCATAAATGCAGTGAATATGATTTGCCTGACAGAGACTATGAACACGTGGCCACATGAGAGTGTTTCGAGAAGAAGATCGAAGTCTATCGACTCTCAGCCCTACCAGGTCGTTTATGTATTACAAAGTTGAATAGAAACGGAAATCAAATATACAACACTTCTTGTGACTTCGTTGATAGCCTTTCTACCATACTGTGTTTCTGGTCAGCATTCAATTACCTCTACAATCACCTGTAACTTGATTGTTGGCTCATTAATATTAATAATAACAACACAGTGTGATGTGAACTAAGCATTTTGTGACTTTTAAGAAATGTGAGCGTGTCCAGATGTGTCCAGATGTGATCACTTGATTCACATATGTGAATTAATGATGATGATGATGATACTTTTCCCGCACAAGTTGGACGACAATTATTTCCAAATTTTAAAAGCTTCTTAGAAAAACCGAGATGCCTACAAATCAGCATTTTTATTATGCTAATCAAATTAAGTATATGAATATAAAAGCCTAGATTAATATATGTGTAAAACTTGGGCACTGTGGTAGTAAGTAATTCCATATTAGTTTGTTTATTAGATATATCACACAGTGAAACAGTATTATTCACTGGATGATAAAGTTTCGAACACAATTTATTGTTCATAATCATCCCATCCTATGTCAGTGAAAATAGGATTGGTGAAATGTTTAAATGACAGACCACCAAAACTAAGTAGTACCAAGGTAAATCTAAGTTAGGAAATGAGGCATATAAGAGAAGCTTTGAAACTTAAAAATTACTTTGATAAATTAGTCAGAAAGTATGTAGGCAAATATAATGATTGTAGTGATAATGATAGTAATAGTAATAATAATAATGACAACATGCATGTCAAACATGCGCAAGACAACACCAACAATAAGGAATCTAAATCATCAGTAGTAATTCCATACAAGGAAGGAACCTCGGAAACCTTACACAGAATTCTTAACAAGGCAGGAATAAAAGCGGCATTCAAACCCACAAACTCAATTAGAAACAAGCTTTGTCGGTTAAAGGATACTGTGGAGCCTTTAAAACAAAACAATTTAGTTTATCTAATACCCTTCCTGCGATGATCATCAGGTCAAATACATAGGTCAAAGTAGTAGAATAGGTGCAGTCAGAGTAGCCGAGCATAAAAGCCTATCAAAATCTAGATTAGTTGACCCGAAGAAGATAAGAAATCTAGTTGAGCTATAGCACTACATGCAATTACACACAACCATACAATAGAATGGGAGGGATAAGATGACAGTTTTAAAATCTAATGTAACAGGGTGGAGGGAGAGATTGATAACAGAAGCTTTGTTTATCGAATCAACTGCAAATACGTGTAATAGGAATGATTCAAAACCTGTCCCAGATATCTGGAAAATTCTACTACCCCTACGACAAATAGGAGAGAAGAAAGAAAATTATAAAACTCAAGTTTCAAAGTCGTGTGATTATAATTGATATGATTATGAACAATAAATTTTGTTCGAAACGTCATCCAGCCAGTAATACTGTTTCACTGTGTGATACATCTAATAAACAAACTAATATGGAATAAAAGCCTAGACACAGAATGAAACTATTTCGAAATCACATCCATTAATAGAGGAGGCAGTAATTTCTTTTTTATACTAGGAAAGTTCATCCTTTACAGGCCTAAACATAAAACTCTGACTGAAAAGAACAACGTTAATGCTGTCCGCTGAGCAAAACTTTTGTGCTTCTGTTATAGTCCACTGATGATGATATAATAATAATAATAATGTTGGTTTGTGACTCCGATACCGAAAAGCGATAGGCAGATATTGACAACTAATCTATTCACCCCACCCCCTTGCTTAGCCCACGAAAAAAAATGAAGACAGATAACAGATTGATGCATGCCGATGACAACAATTCAGTGTGATTATACACAAATATTACCAGTCTCGGAAAGTTTAACCAAGAAATAGCTAATTAATGACTCACTACAAGATGAAGTTGATTAAAGTTCTAGTGGGGGAAGTCGTGATCACTCACCTATAACATTGGCCGATGATTGCTCCATATTGAAAATTAGCAGAAGTTAGAATTGATGGACTATTGGATTGATCGGGTTCCAGTGGCTGAATGGTATACAAGTTCACCTTGTAATCTGAAAGTCCTGGGTTCAGTCGCTAATGGGGTCTTTGTACGTACTGATGAAGAGTCCCAGACAAGGATGAAGCTTTCAATGGTTCTCTAACTGTAGTCACTGCGTGATCCAAATTGAAATCAATCAAATCCCAGTAAACTAACACACTTGAAAGTTGTAAATTGTTTGCTTAAATTGGAGCTTCTAGGTTGTCCAATCGCATTGCAATGCATCTCCTACCTTCAACCGAATGCTTTTATTTCTCCATTGTTGGTTTAATCCCATCTAAGCCTGTTTCAACTGGTTTTTTAATGCAGCTTCTTAATACATTTATGGGAATAAAATCTGTGAGTATAAGACTCTGCAGCAACAAAGCAGCACACACCCACCGAAGTTCGAACTCAGTATCCTACTGTTACAAGACGAGCTCGTGGGCCATTGAACCACTGGTACCCGATCCAATGGCCCATGGATTTCAACTTGCACCGCACAGCAAGTACGTGCGGTGAAGAGTCCTAAACTGGGACGAAACGGCTTTCCAGTACTCTTTAGTTTTCCAGTAGTTCTCTAAGTGGTGTCAGCTGGTGATCAAATCCTTGCAAATCAATACTTGAAAATTACACATGAATACGTTATTTTTGTTTGCAATCTAAGAATATGGTTTCCTGCATTTAATATATTTTCATTGTTTTTCTTTTTCGTTTTGTGTGTCTGTGTTTTTGTGCGCGCATAGATCGTCTGAATATTTTAAAAGAAAACTTTTGAATCGGGAGAAAAAGTAAAGCACAAACGAGAAGCATTAATCAATCAATCAATCATATCAACACTCGAATTTCAATTGATGATATTTTGATATTAGTGTGAGATGTGCAGTATAATTGTCGGTGTTTGACCTGTGATCTATCCAAATCGAAGAACAACAACAACAACAATCATCAACCGAGTGATGAAAAGAGTGACAAAAATAACACACTGTTCTTTTGTTTTGTTTTTTCCCTTATTAACAACGATAATTTTATGAAGAGAGAGAGAGAATATCCATCCACTCTACAATTTTTTTCTCATTTGTACAAAATAATACAATACATTTTTGATTTTCTTCAGTTTCAAAATACAAAATTGGCTTTTACACACTCGCTTGTTTCATTTCCATAACTACTACTACTATTCCCATCATCTTCTCGAAATGTGTGTGTGCTGGTGTACATGAGAGTGCTCAAAATGTTTCAAAACCCCACCACCACCACCAACAACAACACTGTGCTATTGTATTTTGTCTGTGATACATATATATATACATGTGTATATTTTCTTTTCCCCTGCTACCATCTTTTTCTATATGGCTCTTGAGTTGTTTTCTCTCTCCTCCTCCACCACCTCTTCTTCTTTTTTAGTTCGATTTACTTGTGTTATCCATGTGTGTTTTTATTTTCATTTTGGTGACAAAATGTTAGTAGTTTTGTGATTTTTAAATACTAAGGTAGGTAGGTAGGCAGGTACACGGAAGAATTGAAGTGTGGAATAGTCTCATAGCGCGCAACTCATTTTCATAGTCAAAGTAGGCGCAGTTATTTGGGATAGGTGAGAGTGTCTACAAAAATAATCGTGTGTTTTTACACACAAAAGAAACTTTTTACTGTTCTGTTGGGGCGCATTACTGTGTGTATATCAGCTCTGTATATGTATTTAATTTCTAAGAAATGAGGGAACATAATAAGTAACTTTTAACAAAAAATGTTTAAATGATTTCTCCGCCACCCCCCCTCTTTCCCAGATGTGAAATAATACCCCCACCCCACCCGCTATCCCATAGTCGGAGCTCGCCGACAACGTTTCCATGGGAAGTCAAGTTTCACTTATTCCTCTTTGTAATTTTTTTCCTCCTTTTCTTCAGTCTTCCTGTATCTTTTTCACATTATTCATACCACTGTGTTTGTGTGTGTCAGTCTTAAAGCATACAACGATGCTGAACAGCGAAATTTCGAGTGTAAAAACTATGAATCGAGTCGAATTTTGTATGTATTATATCAATACACATATTATATATATATATATATATATGTATGCAGTTTATACAAACAAACATTCTCTCTCTTCTCTTCTCTTCCCACTCATTGTTTATTAACCATAACTAATGTGTGTAAGCAGCATAGAAATCTTTCATCAGTTGTGTCCATATTACCTAATTCATCCATCGTTTTTTTTTTTCTTATTCGATGTGTTGTGTGTTTGTTATTCTGACACTTCGATAAAGTACACTCACACTCTATATCATCATCATCAATCTGAAGAGAACTCAATGCTCCTCCCTATCTTTTTCTTTTTAAGAACCAATTTTAACGAATGTATGCCACCAATCCACGCTATCCGTCCTGTTGATTTAATCACAGCACGGATGACACACTTGTAACTCATATACACAAACAGGTTGAAAATTTTGTGGTCTTTCCAAGAAGAAGCAGAAAGAATTTTATAACTAAGTAGTAGTCTTCCATCGTTACTTTATTCTCTTTCTTTCTCCCTCTCTGATGTAACTGCTTTATCACTATTATTACTATTATTATTATTTATAATTATACACGGAAGCACAGTCAATTAGTACAAATTTCTGGTTCAATTTGTATTAATTTTCAGAAAAGTATGTAATATTATTATTATTACTATTGTAATAACAGTTATGACTTTCTTACATCCTGCCTCGTTAAGATATCCATAGGTTAAACTGTTTTTGATGCGCTTTTATTTTGAGGAAGAGGAAATAAAAGAAGAAGAAATACAGTGAATAATGACAAAAACCATCCAGTTTTTCCCTCTTTCGATTTCTGTTTCATCTAAATTATATATATAAGATGATGTGTGAGATGAGATGTAGTATATAGAGTTATGTTGCTGTTGTTGTGGAAGTTGAAGAAAATATTATTCTGGGTATATATTTACACAGGTGTGTTTGTATAATAGTGCTAAGTATTCCTAACATAATAAGAAGTCTGAGGATATCTGTTTTTGTACATTTATCTATCATATTAGGGTAAAAATTCCACCAAAACCGTTCATTCAAGGCTTGAAGTTCTGTAGTTTTTACAGGATGGGGTTGCTAGCCTCATGCCTAACCTTTCCTCTTCATCAGCATTATTTCTGGCTTAGTGACGTAAAGGAGTGCTTGCCGGATCGACCACTCTCATTTTGTCATGTATACATATATTCTTCTTCCTGTTATATAGAATGAGTTGCGCTTACTTTATTGAACATAATTGGTATCTAAAGTAATTTGGTGGTGACAGTGGAATCCCGGAGACGTATTTCGTCATCCGGATGTACCAGGACTCTCCAGTGAGTGATAATGTTTCCACTGAGACTCGAACCCAGTACTCATAGTCAACAGAGGTCGGGAACTTCGCTCCAATCAATCAACGAGAAAGTCTAAATTCAATTAAATAATTGATACCTAGACACTTTGTCATGGTTACATTTCTTACACAATACAGAAAATCTCTGTTAGATATCGGATAATATCAGCGGCAGATGTTTCACTTGTTTAATTTAATCTTCATTCTTATGTTCAGTTCATGTGCCTGCTAAATTCCTTACTAGTTTAAAGATACTGATTAAGGTGGTAGAGCGTGTCTATCACTTGACTTATTCGGGAAGCCGCATCAGCCCCAAAAGACCGATTGCTGACGAAATCTCAGCACGGATTCTAAAAGGCTCACGTGGGATTTGTCAACTTACACCATCTCTGGCGTAGACGTGATATCCTGATGGCTATCGATCGAAGGACGTGTGTACTGAGAATGAGTTCGCTCTGTCCTTTTTTATGGCTGTGAGATATGGTCATTTGAAATGGAAGATATGAAAAGGCTGACTAGCTGTGTTTGATCATGGGCATCTGAGTTCTATCTCCCATGTTAGGTGGTAGGTAAGTAGGGTGAGTAATACTGATGTTAGGCATCGAGTGTTGTGTAAGGAGGGGAAGTCAATCGATGAGGTGGGGAGGCTACATCGATTGAGATGGCTAGGACATGTGTTCCGCATGCACAGGCCACTGCTATCCATGAGGAGCAATGTTGGGTGAGATAACATTATTCCGGAAAACAGCTAGTGGTGGTCAAAGCAAAACATGGGATCAGTTCATGAAATTTTCGATACATACGTTAAGCTACGTAGTGAGGTTTAGGCTTCGTAGTTGAGGTCCTCGGGATTCTCCGAACCAGTGACTGGAGACTATTGGTGATGTAGGTCAAAATCGTTTTCAGTTGTGCAGATGTTTTCACTCTCTGTGACTTCCTGTATGCATTAAACTCATGTTACTACTCTTTCTCCCTCACATTTGTGCTTACTTTCACTCTTTTGAATCTCTTTTCTCTCGGTACACGGAGTGTGTCACCTCGAACTGGTGCACTTCTGTGCATGGATCTATGCTAAAACTCAGTCAGTAAGGTAGAAATATCAATAGCTTAGTTCACTTGACTTGCATACTCTTATATTTTGCTGAGAAAATAAACATCTTAACGTGTGGTAGAATTCGACTCCATGTTCGTCTTCTGAGTATAAATAAAAGGACTATACAAAAGCTAAATTGATCGTTGACAAATCAATTATTATTATTATTATTATACTATTATTAATCCATTGGGTTCTGAGTGGAACATAGGGATTGAAAAGCACATTGCCATTCCATCCTCTTCTGTGTAGTCCTTAGCCGCCGGCTCAATCATGATTGCTGATAACCCCCCATTTCCTCTTCATAAGGTTTCCTCCATGTCCCCCTAGAATGCCCAACTCATTGTTTTCCCATTCAAATTCCACTTGAAGGCCTGACGCGCTATTTCACCCTGTGTTTTCAGTGTGTATCCGACCCATCTCCATTTCCTTTTGCATATTTCTCGGGTAATGATTAAGTTCATGGTTGGTTTTGTCGCCAGAGTTGCTTGTTATTGGTCCTTTTTGGCCGGCCATCTGATCTTCAGTATCGAGCTGGCGAAGGCAGCTGTTAATAAGACTCTGCAGTCTGTTACAAATGCTCTGAATCTTGTTCTTTAGACGTAGTCCACTAGATTTCCACACTAATTTTAGCGTGATGAAGGTGTCTCTTGCCTTCCCAATCCTAGCTTTGACATCCTCGTCTGTGTGATGCCTGTATTTGAGACGATGCCACCTAGAAAAGTGAAAGAGGTGACTTCCATCAAATGTCTTCCGTAGATAGTGGTGGCCGCTTGTTGTTGTTGTCCGTTGGTTGAGTAATCTCATCACCTGTCTTCTCTGTGCTCACATGAAGTTGTGTCTTCGCTGCCTGCTTCTTCTCACAACTTGTTGGTTTTCGCCTTTAGATCGTCGAGTTCGTGTGACATTAGAGTCTTCTTGTCAGTTTAACGTGTGTCCTTCTTCTCCCACCCCACAGTCTGTTTCATGACCCAGTCCATCACAATCAGGAACACCATCGGTGATAGTAGGCAGTATGACAAACTGATACTTGTTTAATATCATGAATGTAATTTAAAATTTCCTAGTGCTATTGTGAGAGCGTTGTACTCTTCAATTCAATATTTTTCTCCTCACTTAGTCTCATTTGATAATGAGATTCAAAAGCTGCGTTTTGTCCTCGTTGAAGTATAGTAAAGAAAAGGACGATAAAAAAGCGAAACATCCAAGTGATGAAAAGAAGAGTGTTCATTTGTGTCCTATTCAAAGGAGAAGCAGTATCAAGAACGATTGAGAAGAGAATGAAAGTAGCGATAAAACGATGCTTCCATGCAGCTAATCTCGTAACACTATACAGCATCACATGCTCTCTGTAAGCCATCCCAAACTGGATAAGTATCCTACTTGTGGGAGCGAGTGCATTGGAAAGAAGACATAGAGAGATCTCCTATCCAGCTTTCAGAGCATATTCCAAGAAACTTATGCCTAAAAAGGAAGCAGATATTCGCATACTGCAATTACCGGACAGACACCTTATGCATACGGGTCATTTCGTCGAAATTTCTAAATCCTTCAAAATATTTAACATACAAAGGACAGCAAATTTACCAGGATTTCCTGAAGCAGTTATAATCAAGGAATTCAAACCAAACTTATGCACACAGAAAGAGAGTGTAATCAATCTCTCACTGGTTCGGTAACTGCACTTTTATTAGTCATCTATATTAGAGATTTCAGCTCACTGAGCAAGTTTCCTATTTTCCAAACTATAACCTTCTTGAGTTGCTGTGCAGTCCTAGATGCTAACAATGTTTATTAGATTTTCCTGTTTTCTATCTTCTCCTCTCCCCTCATCCTATCCTTTTCTATTTGGAAAGTATATAAATTGATGGTAACGTGTACTGAAAAAGGGTAGGTAATGCGTTAATTGTATAGTGTTTTCTCTACCACTATTCAAACATTGAAGTATGTTATTATCATTATTTATAACCATTGTAATTTCAGGTAGTTTACAGCAACTGATGAGAACCTGTGAATTAGAATGATGGTATCATTTTAGACTGGAAATCTGGGTGATATGATATAAGTGTCTGTCCACCTTTAAGATACCCTGTAACATGTATGAAGAATACTGTTCATGTACAAACCTCACTGCCTTCTACTACCTCATTACTAATATCACAAATTATTATGGCAATGGTGGCATAGCGGTTAGGACGCTCGCCGACCATGCACATGGTCCGGGGTTCGACCCCCGGCCACAGACGCACTCCTTTACCTCGCTTAGCCAGAAATAATGCTGGTGAAGAGGAAAGGTTGGGCATGAGGCTAGCAACCCCATCCTGTAAAATAAACACTGCTACAGAAACTTCAAGCCACTAGCTCGAAGCTCTATGTTCCACTGGGGAACATGAAGGAAAGAAAATGGTTTCATAATAACAAGAGCAAAATACATTTGTCAATTTTGTTTTGATTGTGATTGGGCAGAAATATCCCGGCTGGATGGCTAGTGGATAACTAACAAGACTTTGGCGTTTGAAACAATGGGTTGTTGGATTCAAGTTTCAGTGTTGGAACAGTCCATCACTCACATTTGGGGACTGCAGGTAGGTACAACCAGTTAAAACGAACGAGTCTAACCAAATAGGATGAAATCTACAGCCTAGATTATACTGTGCTAGTTGCTATCCCCAGAACAAAATAAGAAGGAAATCAGGATTATTCCAGAGAAAGATTTATTATTTGTAATCAAATAGTAGAAAAATATACACACATATCCCACAGTGTTAGTAGTACTTGTACAGTGATGGATGATACAACCAGACGACAGTATTGTTTACTTTTATAAGCTGAATTACTGCTGTCAAATATTTTCATGTACATCACATCAGCCATAGATTACGTGCTCGAACAGCTTCAATACGTACAAATCTGTTAGGATCATCAACGAGTTGATCAAGTACAGGTAGAACGGTGATATCACGATGGCGATTAACTACTTGTTCAGGCAGTCGGATAAGATTGTTTAAACATCGTGCAATTGTCAGACGAATATTCACATACTTGTTAGTATGGTAGATTGATAGACCGACCCATTGGAAAGAAAAAGAATAATAAGAAATTGGATGATTTTTTAACAAGGAAAATGAAATTATACTGAATTTGAAGCAATCTTGTACATCAAGATTGTCTAACGATATTTAGATTACGGTTTTAAGATACGGAGTAAAGTAGTAGTGCGTGTCTATCACTTCACTTATTCGGAAAGTTGAATCAGCCCCAAAAGATCGATTGCTGACAAAATCTCAGCACGAATTCTCATAGGCTCACGTGGGATTTGTCAACTTACACCAGCTCTGGCTTTGACATGATATGCTGCTGGCTATCGATCGAAGGACGTGTGTAGTGAGAATGAGTTCGCTCTGTCCTTTTTTATGGCTGTGGAACATGGTCATTTGAAATGGAAGATATGAAAAGGCTGACTAACTGTATTGGATCATGGGCATCTGAGTTCTATCTTCCGTGTTAGGTGGTAGGTGAAGTAGGATGAGTAATACTTATGTTAGGCATCGAGTGTTGTGTAAGGATGGGAAGTCAATCGATGAGGTGGGGAAGCTAAATCGATTGTGATGGCTACTGAGTGTGTTACTCATGCCTAAGCATCGCATTCGTTGTCTAGAGATATTAGGTGACACACGGTCAGGTTGTAATAGAGTTAGGGGCAGGCAAACCCAAAAATGAAATCCATGTGTGAAATATTTGACTGTTGGTTTGAAGCAAATAGGGAAATGAAGACTGTTTGGCTACGCTTTTCAAGGTGCTAAGAGCCAATAACTGTAGACTGTTGGCGATATGCTTCAAAATCGTTGTCAGTGACGCGGAATATATTCACACTATAGATTCATTATAGCCTCATGTTTCCCCATGTTACTATTCTTTTTTCCACATGTTTCTGCTCATTGTTGTTCTTTGGAATCCTTCTTTCTCTTTCGTCTACCGTTGTGTGGTACACGGAGTGTGACAAGTTGAACTGGCGCACTTCTGTGCATAGATCTGTACTGAAACCAGTCAGTCAGATTACGGGATTGAAATTTATTTCAGTTGATAGATTGCATCACGAACCGATATCAGTTAGAGAGATCACTGAAAACTTTGGAGCACTGGGCAGCTGTTTCGTTCTATTTTAGAACTCTTCTGCAGCACGCAACGAGGAGATATCTCTAACCGGTGTTGGTTCATGACGAAATTTAACAGTTGAAATTAAGTTGTTGTCTTTTAAATCTTAGGAGGGTGGGAGGTTGTTCATGTGTGTAAGAACAAGTTTTACCACATGTATAAGCTGCAGTTTATATTTTCCAACCAACCGGTTGTGACTCCAAAAATGAAAGACGATGCACCTAAGCTAACCAGCTCTTCTTGTACCTATCATTTCAGTTGCTCCTGTAGGCTTTTTGCTCTAGGAACTTAGTTATTCCTGCTGAGGAACACCTAACATTGTGGCTAAAGGTGTACTGAAAACCATACACAATTCAGCATTAGATCACTTGGTCCATACAAGTCATAAAACTAGTATCACAGCATCTTTTTCTATCATCCATTGGGTACTAAGTAAATTTCCACAGGCCTCTAGGTACCAAATACTCCATTGTAAGCTGCTTACAACCACCGGAGCTCTGTCTATGAAAGAAACAGATTCACCGACTATTGCTACGCGCTGAGTCTGCTATGGAACCTGTAGATTCATAAATTCAGTATTATTTTTAAAAAATTTATCTGATGCTCAAATTTAATGCTACATTTTTACGCATATTATCATTTACTGATGCTATTCAACTGTAATCTATCGATAGAATTTGGTTCAATGTTATTTAAAACTTGAGTGTTGTTATAAACAATGATTTCTGAATTTGGGAGTACTGGACAGCTGTTGCGTCCCCCCCCCAGTTCGGGACTCTTCATCAGTAAGCACCCACCGGTGCTTGAACCCAGGACCATCCGGTTACGAGGCGAGCTCGTAGACCACTAAGCCACTGGGACCCAATCCAATGGGCAATGAATTCCAACTTCTGACATTTCGTGATACTCTTACTGATGTCAGCTCGTGATCAGTCCTGTGACCAGTCAAATCCCTGCAAACCAACACTGGACTATTTTTGGTCTATTATAGACACATAACTGTAGGACCTTATTGAAGAAGTTATCGAAGAGAATATTCTTTGTTCAATGGGCCATGTTTAATCAATTAAAATATCGTGTAATTATTTATACACACAAATATAAAGATACAAATAGTTAAAAATAAAAAAAACATACCTCTTTACTTGTGGATGATATTTCCATTAATTTTGGTAATCGACCAAAAAGATCATCAGCTTGATTTTGTGAGATTAAACTGCATAATTCAGAATTTTGACTGTATTTTTCACTAACAACTGATATGAAGTGTAAACCAGCAAGTTGAGTTTTAGTATTATCAATTGATGTGACGGCGTACAAAGCGAATGGGATTACCTAAACGTATGAAATACAAATATATTCATCATCATTCAATTATCTGAAGAGTTAAAATATTTACCGTATAGCATTGGCAGATATATAGCATGATGTAGTTTTATTTGTATATTGACCTTTACATTTTAATGCAGTGTGCGTGTGTGTGTGCATCAAATATAACGATAATAAGAACAATTCAGATTTGTGAGAGATTTGGAAATAATTTTCAACTCTTAGATTTCCGTCAAGAACCAAAATCAGTTTGATTGATCATTGAAAACCGGAGAGCACTGGACAGAGCTGTTTTGTTCTATTTTAAGACCAGAAGGGTCCAGTATGTCAAAGTGAAGTGCACACCAGTCGGAGGTACCGGTGAGGTTAACGTGTGTTCATGTCACACAAATTAACAAAGTTAGAATTCACAGGTTGTTATTTAATTCGATCCCAAGTAGCTGAATAGTTAACAAGCTTGGTTTTGTAAGCTGAAGACACCACACGGATTCGGTCCCTGGTAAGTTCGTGATGGTGTGCACGGATGAAGATTCCCAAACTAGGGCGAAACAGCTGTACAGTGTTCCTTCTATGTTGTGCTGCTTCTACTCTTCGTATTGTATTTCTTTGTCTTCTTTTCGTGTCTCCCCTGTTCTGTCTCAACACTGGTTAATTTGCTCTCTTTCACGTCAAATCTATCTCCCTGCTATATGATATTTTTATGCCGATGAACGTCTCTTCATATACTACTGATAAAATGTTGTCAGTAACACACGCCATAGGTATACTTGCACAAAATTCATGAAAATGCAATTTGATATGTTTTACTCTGAAGTCTGCTGTCCAAGATATGAATGACGAATATCAAGCAACATTTCCTGTCACAGAAACTACCAAGACTAGTAGCTCACTAAGACTGATGTACAACTCAGGGGTAGGCTTTATCATCACTTATACTGAGTATAGGAAAGGTTTTATTATACTATCCAGTTACAGACATAACAGTGTCTAGTAACGCGGAATACAATAACATATTGATTACTAGATAACTTAAGCCAGGCAAACTATGTTTGATACTGTTGCTCAACAGTTAATTATAAATACTGTTGTGATCTATTACACAGGACATGTAACCATTTTCAACCAGTTAAATGACTTCCATCGACACTTTAAACTGTAATTAATGTTTGGTAGAGGGGGAATGGGGGAGGGGAAACCTCCACCTACAATTAATTCGCCTTAGGAAAAAAAGTAATATTTATTTTCCAAATATGAATACAACGCAGAAAGGAATTAAACAAAAGAGAGGACAAAATGAAATTAACAAATAATATATGAAATTCATCATACTACAACACAGACAATATTAGAGTATATTTCACTTATTTACACAGTCTTTGTATCTTTGATTATATTTCATCACGCTGTTCATAGCTGATGATAAGATCTCAACAAGTGAAAATGCACTCTCATCCTGCTTCTTCGCATGCATTTGCATTGCAAGTGGTGTCGTTTTTACGAGGGTGGAGTTACTAGCCTTACGTGAGATTTACAGTATACCGTGTGGCTGACAGGCACTGTATCGCTGACGAGATTGTTATTTCTAAGTTTGTTTATATATGAATGTGAGAGATAGTAAAACGAAATTAAAATTAAAAGTCTCACCTTCCTTATCAGCCCATCAGTGAAGAATTCGGATGGTAATCGAACTGTTATTTTCAGGTAGAACGCCAATAGATGATCTGAAGATGTGGGAAAGAATATATATATATATACATTAAATGGTATATAAATTAGATTTTGAGGTATAATTTTATCTCATGTTAAATGACAAACTAATATCTATTAGAAAACTGTGAAAAAGCGGGGAATACTGGACTTCCGTTTCCTTCTAATTTAGGACTCTTAAGCAGTACATGCCAGGGATCCAACACAGGACCACCAGGTTATGAGGCGATCCAGTCATTTAACTCGAAACTAACTAATCGATTTCCTGCAAACTACTAGTGACCGACTACAGGACCAAGTTGTCCGGAGTTCTAGTGAGAAGTTACCCATCAGGTTGGGTGTGATAAAAAAATACTCGGCAATGAAAATGGCCCGAGGTGGTGCTCATAGGAGTTATATTTTCACAGGACCTTGGCTGAATGACCAAAATGCTTGTCTTTTAACTTGAAAGTGCTGCATTCAATTCTCGATGAGGCCATGGGTGTGAACTGTTGAAGAGTCCCAACTCACGACAAAACAGCTGTCAACGATTCTCTAACTTGATATCAGTCTTTGCTCTTACTTGAAACCAATCAAATCCATGGCAACCAACACTGGAAAATGTCTCATACAACAATATTATCGACTGTTATTGATGCATTGAAATGAAATATGTACAGTATATATATCACATTTATCGGTCTAGTATAACATTTAAAAGAAAAAAAACATTGTGCTGTACATATACTGCGACATTGCTTATTTTTGTTTTGACTTTATAATGCTGTATATAATCAGACGGCAATCAGCAGGAGTCCCGTATAGTAAGAACCTAACACGTCAATTTTTTGTAAAAATGAAGCTAAAGAAAATACGAACAAACAAGCAATCAATCAATGAACTAGACATCTTCAATGTGAAATTTTCCTCTCTCTCTCCGTCCACTCTATTTTTGCGGCGTTTATTTTAAACTTTCTGTCGTCTTTCGATTGATTAGTGCTAGAAATAGCAACAGTAATCAATAATCTTTAATGTATACACCTATATGCACATATATATATATATCATGCTGTGAATCGAAAACATAGCAACTTTTTGTTCTATAGAAGAAAAAGATAATCCCTTATTACATATTGTGTCTGTCATTTCAATATGATACTTATATGAAGGAAGTTAAACACTCTCATCTGGAATCAATACAAACTATCAGTTGAACAAAAATCAAAATCACAATCATAAAAGAATATTTATCTTAAAAAGAGAGTGATATATAAAGCAGTGATATAGGATAGAATAGAATTGAAGAAATATTTCAGTAAATTTGTGATTACTGATGACTATTTCTTATATTAGATGGTTGGAGGCAATCGGCAGTAAGCCTTGCTCCACCTAGGTTTCGTGCTAGTTGGCACTCCCAGTCAGCAAGGACTAGACACATCACACTAGTTACTAGTGTCCAATCAGACTATTTCTTATGTAGTTTGTAGGGAGTGGATTGGTTTCAAGTAAGATTACAGGAATAATAACATTTGGAGAACCACTGAAAACCCCGGGGAGTCTTAGTTTGGGAATCTTCAGTAGATCAAACCCCCTTCGAATCTTCAAGTGACACGATGGGCTCAACCACTGGGCCGGAATCTAATGCTTCATCCTTTCTAACTTCTATCAATTTGCGGTTTTTATAGTACAACTGCTAGCCAATGTCATCGGTAGGTATTGCCCTCGCATCTGATCTGGTAGTGGTGTATACTCGAGTAGATGTTTATTTCTATACTTTGAATTTTTCAGTAGCAATAAGGTTAGAGAGATGGATTGATTTGAACATACGTTGAGATGACTGTTGATCCTCGCTCGAGTGGGAACTACAAGTTGCACATGACTGTTAGAGTGACATGGAGAGAGATCCACTGTCGTGGAACTAGTTGAAAATGATAGAAGATAAGTGAATGCAATGAGGCCTTATGTTCCATTTCGGGGATCTAGAGAACTAACAGCAATAGGAATATAATGATTGGATGACTGATCATTCCGGTTTATTCACTGACTAACTCATCGAACAGCAAAAAAGAAGAATAAACGAGAACTAAACACAAATATTGAAATATAACTAGCAGACACTCAAGAGATGATGTCAATCACCATGCATAAAATGAAAGGTTTGTGTTGAAGATTTAAAAAATATAAGTAAGAGATTGATATATGTTGTATATGACTTATAAGAACCCTCAGAAATAATGTATGAAGACAAATACTCAGATGATATAAAGGTAGATCGAGATCGGGAGATTGGACAGTCGACTGATGACCGTTTCGTAGATATTTATTATTATTTATTGTTCCCTTGGGTTTCGAGTAGAGCGTAGGGCTTCAAAAGCACGTCTTCGCTGTGTTCTGTTCTCGGAAGTAAGAATATATAGATTTAGTCAAAAAATGATATCAGTTAGAGAATCACTGGAAACCGAGAAGCAGCACCGGATAGCTGTTATATATCCTACATTGGGACTCTTAGCAGTGCGTTTTTACAACCCTACTTTAAGAGATGGACACTAAGACCTAAATAGGTTCCATGAAGATGGAATACAATGACACGTGTATTCTAACTTCTGTCAAATCGTGATATTAGTGTCATTACCGTCGAATAACATCGGCGAGTATCTATCTAATGGTAGGTTCCATTTATCACCACTTTTTTCATTAAAACTACAGTAATTCCCGTCGGTTTGTGACGAAATCTATTCTGAGATACCAATGAAATCTCTACAACTCAACACTGAAAAAGCAATTATAACATGTCTAACTGAAGTCCTTATGAAGATTATGGTTATTTGAATGTTATAAACTTGAGTCAATTTCAGTAGTTAATTGATCTATTTTTAATCTTGAAGCATAGTGTGAGTAAACTGTGTGATGTTTGAATATGATTTACAGTTGTAAACTCATTTTTTACTGGTTACAGGATTTCATCATGAGCTGACATCAGTTAGAGAACCTATTGAACAACGAAGGAGTACTGCACAGTTGTTCTGCCCTAGTTCGGGACTCTTCACCAGCACGCACCCACTGGACCTTCCGGTTAAAAGGCGACCCTCCAGGACCGTTAAACCATTGGGACCTGATCCAATGGCTCATGAATTCCAACTTCTGCAAATTAATTTTTTACTGGTGCATAAAAATGAAAACGCGATAGCTCGACAGGTCTATACAGAAATAAATCGTTCAGACATCTTTCTTCTATTTATTTTATTTTATTCTATTACTTTGCGTTCCAAATGAAATATTGTGCTTTAAGCCTGAGCTCTTAAGTTTTAGTAGCGATGTTTATTTTCTGCAGGATGGGGCTGCTAGCTCCACGCCTAACCTTCCTCCTTCACCAGGCTTTCTAACAGCCAGTCGAGGTTCAGGAGTGCATCGACCGAGAATTGAATCTGGACCATGCACGCGTGAGTGTGTGTGTGTGTGTTTGACGAGCATTCCCACCACTGAATCAGCGATGCACTAATCAGCTATCTAACGTCATTTTTACAGCAGCATGTAAATCAACATTATTAGAGTAACAAGTTACACAGATTTTCCAAAAATGGCTTACCTAAAAATGCTGTAAAACAATTGTGCGTTTTAAGAAGTTCTGGTTGTGATCTAATCCTGTCTATCAATAGGTTAATTTCACTATGCATAGGTTCAATAATCTGTTGAAGGATATTACGAATATATGAATCTGTAATATAACAATGACTGAATGTACACAGAGAAGAAGAAGAAGAGGTTGAATTCAATGACTTTAACAGTATTTCATCAGCTTGGTCAAGACAACTGCATACACATTGAAATTCAGCAGATAATACGGTTTTTTGATAACTTGATATATCAAAACCCAACGGTGTAAATGTAATCATTCTTGACTTGATCAGAAAATCACCCAGATCTTTATGAGCGGTGCGATTATCGCTTTCATTATATGTATATGAGGACAAGAGACCACGAATTGACCACAATACCAGAAAACAGACGAATGTGTTTTGGCTTCCAGTAGGCTGCGTCGATGTGAAAAAGTGATCTAAACAGCTGGACAAGCACTGCTTTACATCTGTAAAGTAGAAAACAACAAGAATATGATAAGACAGAAGGGATATGATGAAGCAGTTTCAAGCGTGTGCTCACACCTAACAACATGGGGAATTTCTACTATTCTAAAGAAGTTCAAATGCCGTGTATTCATAGTTCTTCATTTCAAAAAAATAAACAGATTTCGGCATAAAATCGGTTTATATTGCCTTCTGAAGTGTCTCGTGATACACTGACATAAAAATAGAATTTGAGCACTGTGAGAGGAAAATAATTCCATAAAAAAGAATAAATTTTTGTGTGATAAAACATTTATTATATCACCTTGATATGATTATGAGTAAATTATGCCCGAAATGTTGTTATCAGTAAATTAAATAATACTGTGTCACTGTGTTATATCAAATAAAATTATTCTATTATGCTCTTATTCATGTTAATGACTTCAAATGTATGAAGAATATAACCTAAAAACAGTCGTCCAGTTACTTTCCTTCTACTTACATTATGCTAATGGAAAGCTGGCGACTTTCCTGACTCTATCTGAGTGGAATATCAGGCTTCAGAAGCACATCTCCATTCTCTACAGTTCTTTTAGACTGGCTCCACGACTGCCCATTAGCCTAACAGGACCTCCTAAATGTCATCCTCAAACGTGAAATTTGTCGTTTCCCATTTGGATTCTACTCAGCAGCCTGGCGCCTGACATCATTCAACGCTCTCCTCAGAATATACTCAGCTCAGTCAATCTCGATTTACATCGACATACTCGTTGTTTAATAGGTTCATCTTCGGTTCATTGTCAGACTTTCTTGTTGATAATCCTCTCTAGTCCACCACCTGATCTCCACCATCGAGACGGTGAAGATAGCTGTTGATGATACTCTGGAGCCTGTTGGAAATGCTCTTGTTGACGTGTGTGCCAAGTCTCTGAATCACATAGAATCACTGACTGACTTGATATTAGTGGTGAAAATTAAATTCTGCTTCCTTATGGTAGCTGAGTCCAGTAGACTTTCACACTAATCTTAGAGCGACTAAAGTCTTTCTAGATTTCCACATCTTCATCCCTGTCACCTCCTCTCATCGAGACCATCCTGTCTACGACATGCAGGTGAATCAGGTGACTTCCTCCAAATGTCTCCCCTTGATATTGGTTGGTTGGCTGTTTGGTTCCTGTAGTTGCTTTTCGGTGGTGGTTAGATAATTTCATCACTTCTGTCCTCTCTACGTTTACTTGAGGTCCTATTTTCGCTGTCTGCTTCCTCTGACAACTTGTTGATTTTCGTCGGTAGATCTTCGAGTTTGTTATGACATTAGACATAAGTCGTCCACGAAGTCCAAATCGCCTAGATACGTGTAATCGATCCAGCGTATTCCAGTTTTCTCACTCCCAGCACTCTATCGCATAATCGAGTCTACCACAATCAGGAATATCATCATTAGCATATAATTCGATATTAATTTGCTCATCCAACAAACAAATTGAAATAGTATTATTTCGAACACAATTTATTGTTCAAAATCATATCATATGTAATTATATACAACTTCAAGACTCAGTTTTTATTAGTCTCATTCTTCTTTCCCTCTTGTCATACAAGTAGCAGGATTTTCCAAATGTCTGGAACAGGTGTTGAATTATTCCTATTCCGTATATTCTTATTTGGAGAGCCACCTACCTAGCATGGTGGCCACATTGTAAACCTGTTTGAGAGAGTTCAGTCTGCAGGAAACATAGGACTAGACGCCTGACATCAGTTAATGTTCAGTCAAAGTATCCAATATAGGAGGAGGTCAATCGTGAGCCCAAATAGCTCAATGTTCATTGTAATATGATCGTAATAAAGCTTGAATCTCCAATCCCTAGTCTTGTTCTCTTCAACACCAATATTCTCATTGATACATCATTTCAGTAGTGTAGTGGTGTACTAAAATCAACACGGTTACTCAATAGAAATGAGAAATTCAGTTAGTATATAGAAGGCATAATGCAATAATTAAAAATGTTGCCTAAAGACTGACTGAGTTTCAACATAGAGCCTAAAACACAAATGCAGCAGTTCAAGTTGGCCACATTCTATGCAGTACACAAAGCAAAAATGTGAGGTTGGCAGAATAGTAACATGGAAAGACATTGGGATTTAATAGATGGTAATGGAAAGCACAAGGAGCGAATGCATCTGCGCCACTGAGAACAACTTCCAACCATACCTCCAATAGTCTCTAGACACCGGCTCTTAACATCCTCAGGAGCCTCCTTCCCCCAACCTCCCTAAGTGATTGGCTTAAACCAACAGTCTAAGACTTCATGGACTGATGATAGGTTTTGGGCTGACCCACTACTCCTAGATCTTTTGCAAATCTAATCCTACTATACCTGATGCATCAATTGTATAGAAATGATTTCATATTTCAGATGTGAAAAGATCTAACACACACACACACACACACATACACGCAATCAAATATACCTTCTAAAGTCTCATCAGTTAACATATCCGTAAGTGGAGTCTATATATCAATGCTTTTCTTTTCGTACATTAGTGTTTGAAAGAAATCTTTAAAAAAAAAACTTATTATCAACCAGATGGCTGTTTATTATTACATAACATATGCAGAATGAAAAAAAAGAACGAAACAAACAAACAAACACGAACAGACAGACAATCCTAAAAAAGTAGACAATTCAGATACTTGGTAATATTTTAGACAGACTTG